ATCCTGGTTCCAGTGGTGCTGTCCGTAGGCTTCCTCCCTCCTTCCTCCCTCCTTCGGGCGAAAGTTTGACCTTCTGGCTGAGAAGAAGCTGCTTATTGTTGTTTTGGTGGCGGTTCCTGCGGTTGGCTCCTTGCATGGGGTATTTAAACTCCTCAGGTCTCAGGTCTTTTACCAAGTGCAATTAATATGTTAAACAACAATGAGCTATTTGTTGCTCTTTTTGCACTTGCTGTGCACATATTTTGCTGTGTTGTCTGATTTTTTTTAAATTCATTTTGGTTCATGTTTTATGGCAGTGGTTCTCAAACTGTGGTACTGTGTCAAACCGGTGGTACGCGGGCTCCCTGTGGTGGTACGCAAAGAAATCTCCACAATATAAAAAAAAACCCTGTTCAGCATAAAACAACACTTTTTTTTTGTCATACTCTTATCTTATCTGTCTTGTATCTATTGGGCTGTATTAATATCAAATGTGTTTTCCCCTCTAAATTAATCTAGTTTTTTCAACAAACAACTTTAATCTGCTCAATTTATGCTCGCGCACAGACATAAACAACAACAGGAGTAAATGGTAAATGGACTTGAGCTTATATAGCGCTTTTCTAGTCTTCCGACTACTCAAAGCACTTTTACACCACATGTCACACCCACCCATTCACACCCTTTCACACACTGATGGTAGTGATTGCTATGTAGTATCATCCATCAGAAGTAACTAATCCATTCATACACTGCAACTGAAGCAGTGGGAGCAATTCAGGGTTAAGTGTCTTGCCCAAGGACACAACAGACATGTTGCTCAGCTGGGGATCGAACCCACGACCTTCCGGTTGAGAGGCGACCAACTGAACCACAGCCGCCCTATGAGTAGACCTCACGTTTTGAAAAGTTCCACTCGATATTCCGTTATAGCTCAGTACTGAAACAACAGCAACATAATATCTGTTAAGCTTATCATTACATTGTAGGCCTACATTAACATAATATCTGTTAATGTAGGCCTACATTAACAGATATTCTGTCATTTATTGGAGTTCAGCACACAATCCGCAGCAGGCAGCTTTACATTAACATTTTTAAAACGGAGCCAGGAGAAGCTTCAGTTTTGATGTATGTACGGACAGTGGACCTTATCGCTCCCCCTCCCTCTATCTCTCTATCTCTCTCTCGCTCTGAAGCTGATGTGATTCTGCTCTCTTTTGCGGTCTTAACACTCCGCAGGAGTCGAGAGGGATTTTTTTAAAAAGGCAGTTTTGCTATGTTGAATGCAGAGACTTATAATGAAGCGGCTCTGGTTGCACAGAGCCTGCTGAGCGCGCACCTGCACTCTCTCTCTCTCCACTGCTCGCTCTCTCAGGCATGCAGCAATTTTATGAATAAATGAAAAATTAATTGAGAATAGGTTGGAAATATACTTAGGTATCGTGTTTGTGTGGGAAACACTGGAGACTAAATATTTCCAAACAGGTTGTTGGTATAAAGTTGTCATTTTTATTGTGCTGCACTTTTGTGTGTGCAAGTTCTAACACTAGCCCTTAGTCGACCTACAGTGTGGCTGCCAGCTGTCAATAATAAACAATATTCTTTTTATGAATATTTTGCCTCTTGTGTAAAATGTGTGTAGAAATAGGCCTACAGTGTATTTTAACATCGACCATAATGGTGGTACTTGGAGAGCCAAATATTTTCGGAGGTGGTACGCAGTCTAAAAAGTTTGAGAACCACTGTTTTATGGTGATGTTGTTCTTGTGTTTCTTGACTTCTGTGTGCTCCTGTTGCAATGCAAATTTCCCCTTGTGGGAAACAACTGGGACAAAAAAAAAAAAATCTGAATCTGAATCAGCTCTAACCTCCTCATCTCCCATCTCCTTCTCCATGACATCTCCCCAGCTCTGGGATTGTTCCATTGCTGTTCTAAGTTGAATCAGTGTCTTGATTGGTTTATTTATTTTTTTCCAACAATCTGTTTCCATGACATCAAAGTGTCATTCAAATCTTTGCCTGTTAATTAAAAGAAACAAAATGGTTGCCCAAGCATTTAACGTTCAACACAACCCAACAAGCTGAGGCGGGCCTTAAGCCTCCTGACAAACAGTTACAACACACACACACCTGTAAGTCAACTCAACTCACCCCTGATTTACAAATGTAAGGCGTGTCATGGATGAAATTCCGGCTGGAGAGATGTCATTTTTTGGGGGCAGCTGCCGGCAGAAATGGCTGTTTTGATAGAAAAGGTTGCCGGGCCCTGCCGTATGGGAACGCAATGCTTGGAGGAAAAAAATGCAATAAACAACACTTGTTTTTGTAATTATCAGTATACTTTGACTTAATATCATGATGAAAGGACAGAAAGTGTGCCCAAATCTGATGTTTTTGTTTTTTTAGAGGACGTCTGAAGAGAGAGAGAAACTTCATCATGAACACACCTGCAGCTTTAGAAGTGTTCTTAAAGTCAAAGAAAGAGACAACTAAGTCTGTGCCAGAGCCAGCGTCAGAACAAATCAGATGGGAGGTCATTGAGGCAACCGCAGGGGCAAAATGGCAAAGTGCCATTCATAACTCAAATCTGTGATATATATTCTTGACACTAGGAGTTTGCCATTGACAAAAACCCAGCCCTTCAAAACATGCTCCAAAGTTTACATTTCACACACGGCACTGTGCCACCCACAGCCTATAAGCCTCTCTTGGCACTGTGGCTCATTTGGGGGAGGGCATGGGCTGAATCTCCTGTGCAACCAATCGGGGATTGGTTCACAGTGGGTTTCAGGAAGATTAAAAAAACACAGAAGAAGTGACGAGGAATATTACACAAAACAGAAAACACGTACTGACCTTCAGGCTATGATTCTGCCCACCTACACCCCCCTCCCCCCTCCACATCCAGCTTGATGTGAAGATTTCAGGTCAGAGTACAGAGTCTCTCTGTGACACCTGAAACTAGATTAGAGATGAGAGATTACTGAGCTGTTTTCTATCTTTAGCTGCTTTTCATGTTCGGGGCGAGCGAGTGGTTCCTCATCAGTCTGATGATAGATGGAGGTCACATCGAGCAGGAGAGAGAGAGTCCTCTGAGCAGGTCACAGGACGGAGGAAAGTTCTGGAGGAGCATAAAGTGAAACCTGAAGGACAAAGATGGAGCTTTTAGCTGTACACCTGAGGACAGAGAGAGAGGAAGACTTCTGACCTTTAGAAAGAAACCATCATCATGTTTAATGTCTTAGCGAGCTTTAACAGGCAGTAGTGTCACCTGTGCAGGATTTCTGGGCCCAATAAAACATATCAAACAGCATGCACATCTAAAGCTATGAGAACTGGGTGCTGGACAAGAAATAGACAAGAAGAAGAGTGAGTCTGCACACCAGAAGCTGCTCCAATTCACATTTGATGAAATGTCATGGAGCATACTGTCTCCCCTGCTAAAATGTAGATTACATGGATAAATGTTGACGTCTAGGCCGAGAGGAAGGTGTACATTCCTCTAGCTCAAGAGTCTATGTTTAAATAGTTCTGTTCTCTAAAAGTATTTGGTTATCACAACATTAAAATGACTAAACTAATTAATGAATGAAACTTTTTTTTCAGTTTAAAGTAAAATAAAACTGAATGTTTACGGTGTATATTTCATTGAAATGTGCGCTTTGTTTGGACTTAAGAAGGGAAGTTTGGGATTTTTTTTTTCTTACTCACTTCAGGGCAGGTGAGGTTGATTACACTTGCAGTCAATCTGGTACTGATTACTGAGCTCGTCTCTGATTGGTCCAAGAGGACAGGTATCAGGGGATTTAATGTGTGTGAGAACAGCAGAAAGGTCAATGTGTGTCAGTTTTGAGAAGGCTGTGTGGAGGGCCGGTTTTCTCTGATTGCCCAACTTTTCTTGTTTTTGTCTGCAGAGGACGTTTGCTAAAGGAAAGAAGTGTTTTTACATGATGTTTTTGTGTATGTGGCCAGTCGGAATCAATTTCTCTTTCCACTGAGAAATCTGCAACCTGGTTGTTGCTTATTTTTTCCACTCACACTGTCTGCCATCCAGAACCACAACAAACACCACATGTGACATTTCTATGAAAAGATATAGGGCCTGAAACATCACGTGATGTTCCATTATTTCATTTTTATTGTAATTTCTCTCTTTGTCCTATTGACACGAGGTGTTAAAGTTTCATTAGAAATAAAGATCATCAGGGCCTGGATGTTCAAAAATGTAATCCAAATGAAAGACAGATTTATTCAGATCACTTTTGTCTGAGTTGTTCAAAGAAAAAACAGATAGGATCACCTTGGTCCAGGTACAGACATTTCATATTTCATAAGGATTCCTTAATCGGATCACAAGCTTTAAAGGAGATGGAACACATGTAGGATAAAGGACTACATATTGAGAAAAACAGACTATTACATTTTGAATTATTATACCCTAATAATTCTACTTAAGAAATGGTGTGAAATAAAATATTTCTATTGTGTATTTTATATTTTTATATTTGTTTAAATCAAATATTCGTTGTCGTATTTTCACCCAATAGAAACGTTTGAAAACAGGGTGACTGTTATTTCAGCCAATCAGAAGCCACCAACGGCAATTAGTCCTGCTCACCTGTTCAGATTTGTGGGTAAAATCTTATATTGCAAGCATTAATTAATTACCCCTTTTGGATATTACAGAGACTTCACAGTATACATACTTTGTCCACCGGAGGGCGCCAAAATCCACAGATGAATACAGTGTAATGAGCTCTGTGTGTGTGTGTGTGTGTGTGTGTGTGTGTGTGTGTGTGTGTGTGTGTGTGTGTGTGTGTGTGTGTGTGTGTGTGTGTGTGTGTGTGTGTGTGTGTGTGTGTGTGTGTGTGTGTGTGTGTGTGTGTGTGTGTTTCTTTTGGATCTGAGGTAGCTCAAGTGTGTCCATGCACACATGTCTAGCTGCTGCTGCACTCAGCATGTTTTAATGTCAATCCTCACATTTCTCCTCTTGTCTCCTCTCCTTGTGTCCTTCTTAGGGAACGTCTTTGTGGTGAGCTTGGCCTTCGCTGACCTGGTGGTCGCATTCTATCCCTACCCTTTGGTGTTGTACGCCATCTTCCACGACGGCTGGTCCCTGGGCGACACACAGTGCAAAGTGAGTTAGAAATGTAAAACCTGATGATGACTCTGTTTAAAAGATATTATAAGAATACTGGTTGTATGCAGTGATGTGAAAGTCACGTTTTAGAAGAAAGTCATACATTCAGATCAGATGAAGAAAACCTCAAAAAGCTAGAAACATTCAAATGTGTAAGAATCTCAGTAAGGATCCTTCTTTATAGAAAATGCAGATTTAAAGAGCAGACAGAATTAATAATCACGTTAAACAAACTAACTTATACTGCTTTATGTCTGACCTCAGCTTTACACTGATGTTAGAAATATCACTGTGTATTTCTTTATAGATTTAAATCTGCCTTTTGCTTCTTGTTTTCTCCCTCGGTGACAGAAACACAGTTCCTCATCTTGCAGGCGAAAAGGAAATCTTCACTGATTGACCTCCTGATTAGCTGCCGAGATAATTACTCATTGATTTGTTAATGTCTTCAGGGTTCAGAAACCTTTACCCTCCCTCTTCCTTATTTAGCTGCAGAGTAAGCTCCTCTTAAACTGAAGCTAATGATGCTAAAAGCTAGTCTATAATGGAAGCTGTTAAACACAGCAGCACTGAACTGCAGGCTGTTGTCAGAAAAAACAGCTCAATCCTTTTTAACCAATCAGGGAACATCCATTGTTCACTCTGGTCTGGGATACTAACTTCTAATTGGTTGCAGCATATCAATAATTCTTGACAATGGACACTTAGTAGTTGTAAGTAGTCTCTGAATCATGGTCCAACTATTCATTGGTCTGTATCTAAAGTGACTAATTATTGAAACAGGGATGCAGTTGAAGCCTCCATGTTTTATTAATGAAGCGTGCACACAAGCTCACATCTGATTTGAAATGTGAGTGACTTTCTTTAACCTGTTTGTAGAAAATGACAGCTCTGATGAGGAGAGAGAAACTAAAATGGGAAGAGAGCGTCGTCCTGCAGTACCTCTGAATGACCACATGAGGGATTCTGCAGGAAGTAACTGCCCCTCTATACGCAGTTATACAGGGGAACACATCAGCCTCATCTCACATCCTATTCACTGTTGAACTCTCTGCTCCAGACTGACCAAAGTAAACATGGCTGACCATTCAGATCCCTCGGTGCGTCCCATTTGACCTCGGAAGTAGGAATAATTCTGAGTTGCCAGTTGGATAACGTCATCAGGAACAACCCCTTAAGTCAGAACTCTGACTCTGAAACTTGGTGGTACTTCAGCCCAAGCTAAAAAGCCAACATGGCTGCTACGTACGTCAACTATAAAATTTAAGTTGTCTTGTTTTTAATATTTCAATCTATCACACCAATAGCATAGTGCAAGTTCTCTCTGTATAACATGTCTTGTTACTTTGTGTTGTTATCACCTGGTATTAGCTAACAAAATCACTGAACCTCAACTGTGGGACCTTTTGGATGTATAGAAAACAAATGTATCAATTTAAGATATTTAATGATCTTGTAGGTGTGTGTGGAGATTTAAAGTATGAAGGAAGTTACAGCGTTGTGCATCGTGCAACAATGTGCAGCGTGCCCCTCTTAAGGAGACTCATGGATCTTCTCTGCTGGTGGGATCATTTCAGGTGTAAAGTCAAAAATACCAGCAACACACCCATTATTAATAATCAGAATTTAACGTTTTATGACACCGTTTGCCCAATCAAATGATTTTATGATCATATCATAGTAATCCATGTCACCACAACACACAAACTGTGGCTGAACTAGACGGCACACACAGGGCATGAATCCAGGTTGAGTCACAAGTTCAGAAAATCATGTCAGACTTAAATTCAAGTTTTCTCCCTCGGTGACAGAAACACAGTTCATCATCATGGAGACGAAAATGAAATCTTCACTGATTGACCTCCTTATTGGCTGCCAAGATAATTACTCATTGATTTGTTAATGTCTTCAGGGTTCAGAAACTTTTACCCTTTTCTTCCCTTTTTTTTAGCTGCAGAGTAAGCTCCTCTTAAATCAGAATCAGAATCAGAATCTGGGTTTATTGTCAAGTACATTTACACAAACAAGGAATTTGACTTGGTGTATTGGTGCTAAACAATTAACAAGGAAATAAAGCAGAACTAGCAACAACTTAAATAATACAGTATAAGAAGATATTACAATATATAAAATATAATTTAAAAATGTAAAATACAAAAATTTAAAAATTTAAAATTTAAAATTAAACTGAAGCTAATTACACTATAAGATAGTTTATAAGACTTGAGTTCAAATCCGGAACTGGAGCACTACAACACTGCCTTTAGCATGTCTGTTTTCAGGACTCTGAAGAGGTCAAAATGCTCCAGCAACACTTGTAGTAAGAAGATCAACTTTATTAACAATTTAGACCATTTAGACAATGAACAATTTAGTCTAAATTGTTAATAAAGTTGATCTTCTTACTACAAGTGTTGCTGGAGCATTTTGACCTCTTCTAAGCCTTTCACTCTTCATGCACCTTCTCAGTTGATGAAGTTTGTGCCAGAAAATCCTCTTTTTCTCCAAATGGACTCTGCAGGCCCTCTTGGGTTCAATAACTGCTGATAATGTGGAACACTTTGAGCATTATCCTTTAAATAATCCACTTCTTATTCTGTGGTTTCATTAATAACACACTGACCTGCCCCCCCCCCCCCGTCTTCCTCTCTCTGTCTCCCCCCTTCCCTTCCTCCACCAGGTGAGCGGCTTCCTGATGGGCCTCAGTGTCATCGGTTCCATCTTCAACATCACAGGCATCGCCATCAACCGCTACTGCTACATCTGCCACAGCTTCAGCTACGACAAGCTGTACAGCTACAGGAACACGCTGCTGCTGGTGGCGCTCATCTGGCTGCTCACCGTCGTCGCCATCGTGCCAAACTTCTTTGTGGGCTCGCTGCAGTATGACCCCCGCGTCTACTCCTGCACCTTTGCCCAGACCGTCAGCACCTCCTATACCATCACCGTGGTCGTCGTTCACTTTTTCGTGCCCATCGCCGTGGTAACCTTCTGCTACCTTCGGATCTGGATCTTGGTCATCCAGGTGCGGCGTCGGGTGAAGTCCGAGGTCCGCCCCCGCCTCAAGCCCAGCGACCTGAGGAACTTCATCACCATGTTCGTGGTGTTCGTGCTCTTCGCGATATGCTGGGCGCCCTTGAACTTCATCGGGCTCGCCGTGGCGATCAACCCGGACGCCGTGGCCCCGCTTATCCCCGAGTGGCTGTTTGTGGTCAGCTACTTCATGGCGTACTTCAACAGTTGCCTTAACGCCATCATCTACGGCCTGCTCAACCAGAACTTCCGCAGGGAGTACAAGCGGATCGTCATGTCCGTGTGGATGCCTCACCTGTTCTTCCAGGAGACGTCGAGGGGGGGCACCGAGGCCATGAAGAGCAAACCCTCCCGAGGACTGAACAACAACGAGCAGCTGAAGGGAGAGTCTCTTTGACTCTCTGTGTGTTTATCCTCCTTCTTCATCTTCCTCCTCTGACTGCTCACCTGAGGGGCAGAAGTCATGAACGGTCTGCAGAGCGAGTGAAGAGAGGAAGATAAATACACTTTGTGTTCTTTATTGAGTGCCATTCATTTAACTGAAGGCTCCTCAGTTCTACATTATAATCTGACTGTTTTATAAAGAGTATCTTAAATGTGTTTTTTTCTCTTTCTATGCCTCAAACTTTTCTCAGCTCGGTTTGCGCAGGTTGAACGTTAGATTAATTTTCCCCTGACAGAGTGAAGAGAAAAATGCCAACAGAACAAAATAAGCAATAGTCGGCTTCAGGGGATGAAAGTCTGTGAAAAAAGATTCCATGGAGCTGAAACACCTGAAGATGTGTTTGTCTGTTACTGAAGTTCACAGCAGCAGATGTAGACTCTGTTTGTGAAATGAGTCCTGACACTTCCTACACTGAATACTCCCAAAACTGTGAGAATCCTATACCATCAGATTGTTATTAAATGTACTGAGCACGTTCACCTACTACTCTGATATTTAACATGAGTTTCTGCAGCTCACAGTTTACATTCAGTGCCAACAGTGAGATCAAACACATGAAGCTGGAGTGACGCTGTGCAAGGTGATATACAGACGGAAAATTAGATGCAAGTTTTGATAAAGAAACGTAAAAAAAAAATCAGTTTGGATTAATTCATGCTTTCATTGAATGTGATCTGATGTGATGCAGAATGATCTGATATAAACATCCTGCTTGAAATCAGGTCACACTCTTTGATCTTTTCTCTTATGTTGTTTTTAAAACTTTTTATTTAAGTTGCACTTCTGTTCAGACTCCAAGGATAGTAAATGTTCTCTATTTCCCCATTTCAACCAAAGAGTTCAGGAACCAAGGAACCAGAGAAGAAATCAGGAACTAATGTCCCGTTCATTCTTTTCTATTTGCTTTTGTATCACATCTGAAACACTTCAACAGAACCAGAATCAATGAGATGAATGTAATCCTGTTTGCCTGGAAGTCAGACACTTGACAGTCCATTCCATGGATTGGATTTCTGTACATGTCCCAGTATTCGATGACCCAGGGAGAATCCATTTATTGACAGAAGTCTGTCTGACTCCTCTACTATAGGTGGTGATATGCCCCCATTAGACCTTCTTCATGTTGACCCATCACGTCACAAACCAAACAATCGACAAACAAGCTAGCAAGCAGCAAACTGTTCATTTCATGCGTTCTCAACTCCATGTTGATACCTTCATCCTGTTTTCTTCTATGCATCTATGCGGTTGGATTTCAAGGTCAAAGCCCGGTACAGGAACTGTGGAGCATGCTCAACAAGCATATAGGCTAATTTTATTGAGGTGTTTACACTCAAGAGTAAATCGACCCCTAAACACATTATCTTCAAGAATTTTGATTATTTCTGTCAGACTACTATGTTAACACATATTTGAAAAGTCCAGTGTAGTTGCACCAACTACTAACTACTAAATCGTTTTTTTTTTTATGTTAATTAAATCTGGCAATGTCTTGTCAATTGACACAACTTTTTGAACATTAAAGTTTTTAGTCCTCGTGCAAACACTGACACCGCGTGGTTCCAGTGCTCCCTTGATGAAGCAACGATGCTAACTGCCCCTAAAAGTTCTTGAGTCTACCTGGTGCCTCCAGAGGAAGGCTCATAATGAGACCAGGAAAACAAGACTGAGAATCGATCTCCTCTGGTCAAACTGCAGAAGAAGTTTGTGATTTCTTATGAAGGTTCTTTGGTTCCTTGAAAGGTCCCTATGTGGAGCCAGGAGACATGTTCAAGACATGAAGATCTCAGCCTTTAGGGACCTGCTTTACACTCTCATTTTGAAGCTTTGATTTCTGTTCTCTGATCTTAACCTGCTTTAATACTGAGGAAGGGATATCCCGAACTGTGAGTATAGGTTTCCCATTAGGAAATATTCTCTCTGATCGGTAGAGAATACGTTTACTCATCAGTTTCCCTGTGAAGACGAATTCATTTTAGTTGCTTTTCTGAGATCCCAATGTATTTTTACCGTTATCACGGGATAACAATGCTAGTTTATGTGATAACAAGTTCATTTCTAGAGATCTCAAGAAAACAGTGAAAACTTAATTTGATATCAGGGGAGAGTGAAAAAAAAAACAAGGTGTATGTCCGCTTAGGGCTTCCATAGAATACAGTTCAATCAAACACCAAATCTGCACCAAAGCAGTGATCACTGAAGGAAACTCAAAAATGCATAAAATTTTTTTTTTTAAATATATACATAAGACTGTTTTTAATAACTGTAATGCACTTACATTTTGTACACTGCAGCTGTATGAACGAGGACTCAGATCGGTGAACATGGTCGAGACATCCCTGCTCCAATAATTTCTGATAACTTCTAAAAACCAAACTGAGCCCTGTACTCAAACCTGTGATGATGTTTGTTCACCTCAGGGTGTCTCCTGTTTGGCGAGATGTCTTACAAAGTGTTGGGCACGGACAGATGAATGACTACAGTATAATGTGATGGAGTCCTGCTGGGTTTGTGTATTAGTAATGAACACTGTGCACCAAATGTTTTTAAAGCTTCACTTTAGAACAGTTTTTTGTCTTTTTTATGATGATTGTGAATTAATGCACTGCAGCATGATGAACCTTCACTTTGTTATCTGTCGATGCCTCAAATGTCTAATGGACGTCTCCATTAGTGCCTGATTTATGTTCATTTCAAGAGATTCTACCAAAAAACAAAAGAAAAACAGGCTGAAAGAAGGCTGTGGTGGGTTAACGGTTTGTTATTAATAAGTTCCACTCTGAAGGTGACTCATCAGCTGATGATGCAGCTTCATGGTGTGTTCACTTTCTGCAGGAGGAATATTTTATATAAGTGCTTCAGATTCAATTTGAACACACCTTCAGTTCTAGTAAACTTTGTATCTATGAGATATTTCAGTTCTTAGGCCAAACATGAAGTCATCAAACACTCTTGATGGCATCTAAAAGCACAATTGTCTCTGCAGCCGGCTGACAGTGTACTTATGCAGTTTACAGGTAACTATCTTAGTAAAGTTTGAATCTTAGTAATGATGAGAATCTCTCTATGCATTTCATCCCAATCACGTCAACACGACAGCTAAAAGCTTCCTGAACACCTGTGAATAAAACTCTTTTTATCCAGTTTATCTTAGTAAAAGCAACGGGTGCAGCTCGCTCTGCAGAGCTGACACGCTGCTGCAGAGCTGACACGCTGCTGCAGAATGTGCATGACATTTATGATCCAGTATTAAAATGATGCTTTGATTTGGGAGGAATGTTCTGATAATGAAGACTGAGAAACTGCTGCTGGTAAAAATGATGAAGATGCTGATGATGATTGTGCATATTTAAATATAGATGCTGTGAAAGATAAACAAAAAAGATGTAGCCTATTGAAGGAGCACTAAGTGATGTTTTAAAGAGATTCTTCACTTTCTTTTACAGAAACATCTTTATAACTAACACTTCAACAACAAACCAACTTCATAATACCAGAATTTTAATGTTCAATATGATTCTAGTAAACATCAAATGATATTGATACCTGTTTGAAAGAAAGTAGCAACGGAAATAGAAGTCCTAGGAACCCACTATTGGGTAATTCTTTGATTTTAATTATCAAAAATTGCAGCAAATTTTTGGTTAGCAGGTGCAGCTAAAACTAGCATTAGATTAGCAATGACTATGTATCATTGTAGAAAACAAGTGGCAACCTTAGGTGTTGAAAAATAAAGCCAATGCCAAAGTGCAAGATCCTGCAGTTTGTCGACTTCACCAACCGAGGTGCATGGAGAGTGAAAACTAGACGAGGTCAAAAAGCTCCAGCAAAACTTGTAGTATGAAGATCAACTTTATTAACAAGTTGGATCTAAACCTAACACCTAAAGGGTTGCTTGAGCTTTTTGACACCTCCAAGAGCCCCAGAAGACACATATACACATCACATTCAAAAATGCCAATTTTTTTTACAGCAGAAATGAACATGTTTAAATCCTCTGTTTTGACTTTAAGTCATTCATTTAAAACAGCTGACGTGGTTTTAAAGTGTCTGAGACAACGTTTTCTCTGCAGGCTGTTCAATGAGTCCACACCCTTTAAACATAAACACAGAGTTCAGGGTTAGACTCAAATATTAGAGGTCAGGGTTGAAAATCAGACATTTGAGAGAAATGAAATAATAGAGTCCAAGTTTTAAATGAAGCTTCATGAAAACAGCTGATTGTTTACCCATTTTTAAATCGTTATTTTTAGTCTAAACTGAGTCAGACTGACTCGGTGTCTGAAGGTATTTATATCTGATTCAAGCTGCTCGCTTAAACTTTGGAACATTTTGTAGCAAAGATCTCGGGGGGGCGCTTTGAGGTTGTCAAAATTAGATTTGCACTTATTTACAAAATTCATGACACATCCTGGATATATAAAGGTCTTATGGTAAGAAAAGTATGTGCTTACTGTGTTGGATCTTTATCAATGAAAACAATGAATTATGTACTTTTTTTGAGAGCAATATATCACCGTTTTTCGTGCCAGGGGTGTTTAGCTTCAACGATGTCATACTTTATAATTGATTAAATTTACTGATCTCTTAGTGCTCCTTTAATCAGGAAAAAAAAACCTGTATATTTTATTTTATCATGTGACTGGTGGATCTTTTCACACTGTAAAAAAAGTTAAAATGTCAATAAAACATTGTTTTTAATTTTCTGAACTTCTGTTGAAAGTTTTCTTTAACAAACTCAAATTGATCTCACACTCTGGATTAAAATCACATTTGAACATGCAGGGTGCACATACATTAAAATGTTAATTTGATCAACTGTTGAAGAAAGAGTGTAATAAGTCACATCTAACGTGTTATCCTGGAACTATTAAGTCAAACAGTAAAGAGTAAAGTGATCACATTCTCTCACTGCTGTGGTTTAAAACACTAAAAAGTCACACATTGTAAAGATACAATAAGACTTTGAACATGATGTTTTGACACATAATTAACAAAACCATTCCTCATGTAGAAAAACACCCCACACATGAATAATAAAGTCTCTCTAGATTTCACATTTTGGCTAATTTCAAAGGTTTTATATGTTCTTATGTATCAATAGTTCTATAATTAAAAGTTGCAGCCTCCTCTGTGTGACTTTCTGTTATCATGATACAAACTTGAACTGTGTTTACATTTTTTGTATGCCTCCTCTGTCTCTGCTGTCACTTTCTATCCTTATTTAACTCCTCTGCTGCTGATGCTTTCTGCACATGCTCAGTAGCTGCATCCCTCTGAGTGAGGCGCCTGAGGCATGATGGAAGATTAATGCATTCAAATTGCCTATGTCGGACCCGACATTACTGAAGTTGCAGGGTGGTGGAGGAGTCAGATATCTGCTGACGGGTGCAGCGGCTCGGTGCTGAAGGGGAGCTGAATATTGATTTTTTTTTTTTTTTTTTTTTTTACCAAAATCTGTTCACTGCTGAGCTGCAGAGACGCCAAAGGTCTGTTTCTACATGGCAAATATCATCCAACCAACCCTGAAATAAAGTACAATTGATTTTAAAACAGTCTGCAGAAACAAATATTAACACATAAGGCTTTTATCCGAGGACAAACAAAGATTGGTGGTAAGAAGAAGAGGATGATGAAGATTGAGGAGCCAGTGGTGTAGAACTTTATATAAAAGTTAAATAAATGATCATGGATTCATTCACGACCTGATGCATTTCAAAATAATATGATAAATAGCTGTCTCTAGTTGAGACCTGCATTTATTCTAAATGTGCAGCAACACAAAGCTAGTGAAAGGGACTGAGCCTTTAATTGAGATGGGCTTTTATTACAAGTTTTATAAATCTGAAACCTGATATAATTAACTGATAAAATATCATCTGTCGTGTTTTCTGTGTTCAATAATACAGAGTCATGATGACAAATCATCACACTCCAACAGTCATAATCACAGCTTGAGCGACTTGCATATGGGCATAGAAGTAGTTACTGTCTGCTGAGGTGAGGACAAAGACAAAACCACTCTACAGGGAGAGAACTATTGGATCCATTCTTTGGGTACCCTCCTTCAGTTTAATGAGGACATTTGATTTATCTGTTTCCTATGAACTGATTGTTATTGTCATTCTGCTTTATTTTTGTTTCTGTCTCTATGTTGGATCTGATCCTTGAGGTGAAAAAGTTTATCAAGGCTGCTTGTTTACTACCTCTTTGTTGAAAAGATGTGTGGTGGAGACTCCCCCTGCTGGGATTGCCTGGTACCTATTTTAGACACGTATAATAGGACTCGTGTATGTTGTGAAAATTGCCTTTTACATGCTGCAGAAGAGCGTCTGCTCCAAACATCAGTGTGACAATTAAAAATACAATTCAGAGTGCTGTCCTAATCATTGTTCTTGTTTTGGACATTCATTTGGTTTTCTGAACTCAGTTGTTATGCACTATTAAGGAGCTGAGCGTGTATTTTATTACTGTTACAAGAATTTGAGAAAATGTTGTAGGGGACATGCTGGTTTGTTTCCTAGAAAAGGAGACAAACTTATATATGATAATGATACAAATCAAATGATATCGATACCTGTTTGATACCACGGCAAAAAAAACAACCAGAAGTAACGACCAATATTGGGTAACTTCTTGATTTTGAATGAACAAAAATTGCAGGCTTACTCCTTCACATGGTCTAAATTGTATAAAAACATTGGCAACAGTACTGAAACGTTGCCAATGTGCCTGTGGCAGCTTTAAGTTAAAAATAGGACTGAAGAACTGTCTTTTTTTAAGTAAGTTTTGATAAGTATGAAAGAATAGAAAATGAATGTGCTTTCGCCATTTAGGCCCCTAAGCTTTGAAACTTTCTGCCAGAGGAACTCATCATATTCTATGTCTGAAAACTCTCTCATCTCATAGCCTTCTCTTAGGTGTGCTACTTTTATTATCAAGCAATAATGATCACTTCCATACCATGTGCAACATGTCATTTCACAGGCAATATTAGTTTTTCACATTTGGGATATACATGTTTTTGAAAATCATGTAGTATTATCAGTGTGCTCACGAGCCTGGGTCTGTGTCTGATCTGCCAATACTACTGACTATAATCACAATACTGTCATACTTATCTTACTCTCTTACTTTACTTATTATAGCTTTGTTTATCCTTTTGTTGGTACAGCTCTTTGAATTTAAACCTTAACCACTTAATACTCAATAATAGCCTACATTTTAAGTTACATTTTTTTCTACTTCACTTATATTTGATGCTCTTTCGTGTTACTCTTTTTTTTGTATTTTTTTATTGGAGCAACCAGGCAGGAGAATTTCCTTCAGGATTAAAAAACGTCCAATCTTCTCTCCTCTCTACTTTTATTAATTTTAATATTTGTTTACAATGAATGTATTTTATTTTATTATAATATTTAAAAAAAAAATGAACATGCCTGTCTTTTATTTGCCTATATATTTACCACGTGTATTTTAATGTCTGCCTTGTAACTCTGATTTTTAAAGCAGCTTTACAAATAAAGTTATTGTTTTTATCATTATCTTGGTAAGGTTTTTCGATCAGTGTTATTTTTATTAATATTGTATAGAGAGAGAATTTGATATAAACGATACACAGTCGTCTGATAGAAGAATTTATTGGATATATTTAAAATAGTAATGAAAAGTGTAGTGGAGCTGTGTGAGCTCCGGGGTCAGCAGCGGAAGTTGTAGCTCCGTGTTTGTCCGCTTTGTTGCAGCTCTCGGAGGTTTCTGCAGATTTCAGCTTGTGTTGCCAAGTGTTGCAATGGAGCCGAGCTGGAGTACGTTTTTATTCCAAGTAAGTGCAACGACCCTGCAGCAATGTGGGAAACTGTGTGAACGCTTTGTAAGCGACAAGAGTATAGTCCGCCCTGCATGAGTTTATCACTTTCTGTAATGAAGTAGAGTTAGCGGAGCAAAACAAAGGTGTTAGCGTTAGCCTAATAGCTAGTTAGCCTGATAGCTAGTTAGCTCTGTTGTGTGGGCTAACCAGCTTATCAAACCTGAGACCTCCGGCTGTGTCTGCTCCACAGACTCTCCCGGGCTTCCTTATCAGTGTTGGTGTTACTACCCGATTGCGTTATCAAACTAGTTTGTGGTAATATTGTCTGAAGTAGCACAAATCCTCGTTAAGCTAATGAAGCGCTGCTGCTGTTTATGCGCGGGCATTAGCAAATTAGCTAGCATGGCGAGCTAAGTGCAGCTGACTGTAAGTTAGGCTGTTTAGCTTAGCATTGTGCTTTTCCCCTTAGCAGCAGGAGAGTCGACGAATAACGATTATCTATATAGAGTGATGTATAATGTGTTCAACTTATTATTGTTTCAGAAATCATTTTCCACGCTAACGTTACTCCGAACAGCCATGAAGAAGAAGGGAGCTAATGCTAATGCTAACTAGCACATGGACAGGAGCGATTAAAGCACATTTTACAATCAAACAGTCCACATGACATCATCTGAACTACATCAACTTAATGTGACCTTACCCTATCCGTCGTGTACTATAACATGTAATGAAGCACTTTGTTGAAAGGTTAAACCACAAATACTGCAACTTATTTTAAAGAACTTTGTTAATCACATCTCATTTTAAACTCAAAGCTTTACCATATAAATCACTTTGTATAAAGTAGCTTTGTCATGACACCATCATTTCACTTATTGAACTTAGATACATCAGTAGAAGTCAGTCGGTAAAGTTACATGTTTCTGCACCACAAAAAGGGTCATTTATTGTTCTTTGATGATCAAAAGTTGCATGCAAACTCTTGACCGCTGTCTGAATTGTAAAAACCACATTTCCAATTTTCTTTTCATGTGTTTGTACAATTTACACAGCGTGCAAGAAATTGTCTGCATCTTGTGATGGATTTAGTTCTCTCTTACACATCTGTCTTAAGAAATGGAGTATCTACTATTTTAGACAATGTTTTAGATTTAGGTAATAGATACGAGTGTCTTTTTGATTATTTTGTAAATTAACATAACAGAGGTTGTATGGTTTATAAAACAAGTGGTATCTAAAAGTATTGCTGTATGTAACAGTATGACAACCTTCATTTTTTTATTGTTGCAAGTGTTTATTAATGTCAGCTGGTACACGTACTTATAGTCCAGAAAGTCTGCTGCAGACTTGAATCACTGTACCCAGATACACTGTTTGTGCTCCCTCTGAATACAGAATATTATTTTCAATCTAATCAATGCTGCATTCTCACATCAGCTGATTCAGACTTGCTGTGGGGAAAATAATAGGGGTCTGGCAGACGAAACGCTGGGTAAAGACCCAATGACAAATTTGTCTGTTTTGCTGTCACAGGTACAGTCAAATATCAGAAGTTTTCTATAAGATTTGAGTTGAATTTACTAGAAAACATATTCAAGACCATTTTAGCAGGTTTTAACATGAATGGTGTGTTAAATTTGTATTGGTAAAATAAATAGTTTTAATGAGCCCGACCACATCTTTTTAGTTAGTTTGATCTGTTCAGATGAATGTTGGAAAGGCCTCTCTAGTTTTTGATAATTAACTCTACTTTACATTTATTGCCATGTCTGCTATCCTATACAAACTGGATTTTTTTTTTCAGTTATCAAGTAATCTACTGACAAATTATCTTTCATTCTAAAGAGTGTTTTTACATCTATTTTATCACTGGAGTAATAGTCAGCCAAAAGTTTCACTGACAAATGTGGTGAAAAGAAAAATTAAGATATTTTATCCTGTTAAGTTATTTTTATCCATTTTCTCACTTGGTGAGAAACATGGTGGCTAAAGTGAACAAAAGCTCAACTTTCGATGTGTTAAATTTAGTTTCTTTACTTATTTTTCCTTAAAATAATAACCATGAAAAAACAAACCATGTAAAATGGACTTTTAAAATCTGGATGACAAATTATTCAGTAAATGGATTGAGTTTGTCTGAATATTTCATAATAAAATGAGACTCCACTGTTTGTATGTCACTTAGTCAAAGTCTTCAGAAGTGCTTCAGTCTTCAGAAGTACTCGTAGAGACTCTGGTGGATCTTGATGAAGCTTCAGTTGTCATGGTGTTTCTCATACTTGTAGAGCAGAGCTCATATGTGTGTATGTCGGGGGTGAGCTGTTAAAGAGCTGCTGCTGGTATTGGTGTCTGTTTGGTGTAATGTACCTGGAGCTGATGATGATGATAATGAGGAGGAGGAGCTCATGTGATGAAGCTTCACTTGTTATTGTTCTCCAGCCTTGTTATGATGAAGCTGGCTGCTGTCAGACCAGTGAGGGGAGCGGGGGTCTGACCCAGAAATGTTGTTGATATCTAAACTTCAGCCATGTTGTAATTAACAAGATATTTCAAGAATTTTTGAAAATTTTTAACATTTAGAACAGACATCTAAAATAGGTTTTCAAGGCAGCAGAAAAAAACGTTATTATAATTGAACATTTAAAGTTTTCCCAGTTTTCCTCTAAAGTTTTTTTTTTTTGCACAGTGTATCATGGCGTCTCTCAGACAGACTCTGTCACGGTAAATCTTAACACTCCCTCGCACTGACAAACAAAGACGGGATTAGTTGTATTTGTACTATTTCTAGTTAATTTCCGTGACTCTTTTTTTGGTCGTATTTGTCTTGGACAGGCCCCCGGCTTTCACAACAGATTTGAATCAAACTTGGGAGCACTGTGTTGGAACAGCAGGCTGTTCTGCTGTGTTTGCCCATCCCTGACCGCACACACACATGCTAGCATAAATGCTAATTGCAGTAATGATTGTAGTCTGAGTGCTGCTACAGTGTGGAGGATGTAAAAGCAAGGCGACAACCTGTGACGGCCCCGGGCTGTCTGCAGCAAACACACAGCATGGACGTATACACTGTGTGTCCAGCAGCTGAACACCCCCCAGCCCCCAGAGGGCCATAAGTGCTTCAGTTCTTGGATTTGTGTTGTCCTTAAAAGAACACAGTGGGGGGAAAAGCAGCACTAGGGATCCCCCTCAGACCCCCCCTGGTGGATGACTGGGTTGGGATGCTTGGCTGAACCTGAAAAGCCCGGGTCAGGTCTTTAACCCTGGCCGCTCGTGATTACAGAAAAGAACAAGGCGCTCTCCATCGCCACGTTGCACAGATGACCTGTTGTAAAGTTGCTGCTTACATCGTGGATCTCTGCTTTCTCCTCAGACAAAATATTCAGACAGCCCCCCCAGCTTCTGTTGGTCCTGTCCCACAGGGATCAGCCATGACCAATCACACAATGGCTGCCAGCAGCTGCAGACTTAAGATGTCCTCTAAACACTCTGTTTTTATAGGTTACGTTTTCTGTGCTTGTCACCGCTTTATTTATTTAAGATGCACATTTTGGTTCTGTATTGTCTACTTTTTATTTGGCTTTTCAGACTTTAATATCCAAGATTTAGTAATTGTATGAATCGTTCAGCAGAACCCCTGCTCACCAAGCCTTTATCAAACAAGCTGGGTGTAGTTTTAATTCATGTCGGGGGTTTAGGCCATGTTTACAGGAGCACAATCTACTAACATATAACACCAGGAAAAGTAATGAAACAATATATAAGTTGACAGAACGGACATGACAGAAACAAAGGGATTCAAAAAGGAAGAACAGAGGATAGGTATTTACACTACAGTTGAGGTGTTTTACTATACATTTTAAACATTATTATTGTAGATATTTACTTTTAATTTGAACTTTTACTGCTCTGTTCAGTCTTTTTGCGTCACAGCTGGAAGGGAAGTCTGCCTCAACTGGATGGTTGCAGATTTTGCTAGCATCTATTTGTGTGCTGTAAGAGTTGGGAGAGGTAGATAAACCGTGCTTCCTGCAGCGCTTTATAGTTAAACTGCCTCTGGATGCTGTTTGGTTGCTCCGTTCTGATCAGCTCCTGATGGTTTTGGCCGAATGCAATTCGAGAAACATAACTTTTCTTTGTTTCCTCTCACATTGTCTGTGTCATACATAGGAATGGGTACTGAATACCGTGATTGGCAAGTACCTAGAGTATTGTTCAGGTCATAGACAAACGATGCTGTTACCGGTATTTACGTTTGTCCCTCTTATTTAATGCAGGGCTTTCCATTAGCGCAGGTTGTCTGCCAAACAGCGCTAAGTCAGTTAATTACCGCCTGCTTCTTTTTCTGTTTAGTCATAAAAAGAGAGAACACCAGAAACACGCTTGGACAGTAAGCACTACAAAGTTTTCCTTATACGCTACATATATATCTACACATATATATGTGCCTGATGATGAATCAACAATTCAGTGAATTAGCTTATGTACCATAACATATGTCCAGGTAAAATGACAAAGGCATGATTCTGATCAAATAATGATTTCCTGCTCCTAATAATAAGGAGGATCAAACCATGCCTTTTCAGCTTGTGGAGGAACTTTCATACAAGACAGCTGTCACTGAGTTTGACACTGTTAACAGAGAGATGATGTTCATTATCTTCAGTGATTTACCCGAGTATTGTGACCTACTACTTTACATCAGGCTGTCAGCATCGCTCCTATTGTCTCTAGTGTGTGAGAGGATGCCTATTAACATGAATTTATGTTACTCTGTCTATCTTACAGCAGGCCAATGAGGCTCTGCATCACCAGCACCACATAGCCGGGAACAGTCTATTGCCTTTGCTCAGCTCTGGATCTGAGCCGCCTGATCAGAAACCGGTGCTGCCCATCCCTCTGGACCAGAAACCCCCTGTCAGTGCTGCAGAACTCCTTAAAGACAATGTGGCCAGTGGGACAGGGGGAGGAGGGGGAGGGCCTCCTCTCGCTGTGATCAAAAAAGAGCCCAAGTCAAAGACGCCCTTCATCTGTGGCTACTGCAACAAGGCCTTCAGAGACAGCTACCACCTGCGACGGCACGAGTCTTGCCACACCGGAATTAAGATGGTCTCCAGACCCAAGAAAACTCAGATGGCCCCCACAATGGTGCCGCTCATATCCACCGTACCCCGAGAGAACAACGTCAACCAGTCATACATCACCACTGTGGCTGGAATCCTTACCACAGCCACCACGTCCACAGCTACAGGCACCAGCATTATGACGCCCATGCAGCACCAGCATCAGCATCAGCAACAGCAACAGCAGAGTGTTCCCAAGAAGCCCCCCAAACCTGTGAAGAAGAATCACGGCTGTGACATGTGCGGGAAGGCCTTCAGAGACGTGTACCACCTGAACCGCCACAAGCTGTCGCACTCTGACGAGAAGCCGTTCGAGTGTCCCATCTGTCAGCAGAGGTTCAAGAGAAAGGACCGCATGACATACCACGTCCGCTCCCATGATGGGGGGGTCCACAAGCCTTACATTTGCTCCGTCTGTGGGAAGGGCTTCTCGAGGTACGTCTAAGGAGGGACATGGATACAGAGATATTATGTGCACAATACCAGAATTCTAATCCTGGATATGATATAAGGAAAACTGATACCTGTTTCATTAGCGATGTTACAGTACTTGTGTTTTATATATTTTTATTTCGTACCCCAGCCTGTAATCTGAATGTCATTATATATAAAGCATATACCAAAGGAATGGTCTTTCTCTCACCTGCAGACCTGATCACCTCAGCTGTCACGTGAAGCACGTCCACTCGTCAGAGAGGCCGTTCAAGTGCCAAGTCACGGTAAGACTGACACTGACCCTAAACCTGCTGAACACTGCTCCTACATTTGATCCAGGTTCAGACTAGTGTTAGTGTTGAAATGTGATACACAATAATTTATAGTAATGTATTTGTGCAATTTAAACAGTGCTCTCCTTCTCCTTTGGTTAGAATTTGTCAGGGCATCTGTAGTTTTTAAAAGTTTCAGTACTGTTTGATACTAATGATCATTAAATAGCAGAGATGTTGGGGCTCTGGTAGCCTTTTGGTTAGTGAACCGTCTCATGTACAGCGATGATAGTCCTCAAAACGGTCAGTCCTGTTTCGAATATGACTTGTGGCTCCTTACCCGCACCTTATTCCCTACTCTCTCTCCTGCGATTTCTGACAAATTTTATTGTTTTAAAACTTGCATCTAAATGTTTCAAAGCTTTGAAAATATTTGACAACTTTAGAGAACAAAGAATAAAAAGGTTGTTTCTGTCCCAGGCCTGTACCTCTGCCTTTGCTACCAAAGACCGTCTGCGCTCCCACATGATCAGACATGAAGGTAAAGTCACCTGTAACATCTGTGGTAAGATGCTGAGCGCTGCCTACATCACAAGTCACCTCAAGACGCACGGCCAGGCCAGCTTCAGCAACCCCTGCAACAATAAAGGTAAGACACGATCAATCCCCCTAATACATTTTGTCCCTACAACATTTAATCAGCAGTGACCACAACATCCAACACATCTGTATTCCCCTTAACATCAACATATTTTATACAGCAGTCATGGATGGATCAGATTACACTTTATGTCCCCTTTCAGCTTTGAAGTTATAACCCGGGTTAGACTTGAGTCATGAGGAATAATGTTTGTGGAATACAAAAGCACATTCTTCATCTTTTAAAGCAACAATATGTAGGATTTCGGTGTAGTGCCATTTTGCAACTGCACTCTTGTAAAACACAATGCTGTTATGCCTCCCCCACTACTCCCCCTCAGAGACAACATGCATTTGTTGAAAAGCTGAGGGGTGGTGTTGTGAGAAGCCAAAGACTAATGTCCACTGACAAAGCACAGTGATATTACCAGATTTTGCACAAATATGACTGCGGCGTCTACAGCCCGTTGTAGAGATAATAGAGATGGATTTATTTATTTGTATGAAGGCTGAGGCATCACTTTGGTGAGATGACTTTCTGCTGAACGTATGACAACGATAACAATACAGCCTAAAGTTATGTAGCAATCTGTTAAGAATAGCAGGGTTCGAAATTAACTTTTTGACTCACCGGCCAAGGTGGCAGGTGGATGAAAAAATTCACTGGCCAAACATATTTTTTTACTGGCCAAAATAACAAATTTTGTTTTTGTGTCCTATACACATCTGTTACAGAACATTTAATTGAGAAGGCATTATGTTTTGTTTAATCAATAATACATTGAATTCACAGACTTGATCGATTCGATGTCATCTGATCAGGAAATTGAGAAATTGAAAAAAAAAAAAAAATCTAGCCTTTATTTTTTTCTTAATGTATTATTTGTAGGCAGTAGTTCCAACCCCCTCCCCCAACATTACAGACTAAAAACAAAAATCCATCAAGAAAAAAAATATATTAATACTCAAAACTCCTGATTTATCTTTGACAATATTAGACACTTAATATAATCAGCCTGCTCATTAGTGGACGTATATCTCTGACTGCTCCTGCTGCACGTGATGGAAGGAAAAGTGGAGCGTGCATTTAGCGTCCGCTAGGATATCGAAAGTGTTTGTAACACAGCGCTGTTTCACGGAGTCTGTGTGGAGATGTTCACACACTTATTACGATGCTATCGCTAAGTTAGCTGCAGACACAGTGAGAGTGAACGGAGAAAAGTCGACCGCATCACGTGTGTTCCCGAGTGTTTTCGTGCTTTAGCACTAGAAGTAAACAGGTGCACGTGGTGGCTGGTGCTCCGGTGTGTGTGTGTGCTTTTGCGCTGCAGTGTATGTTGGTGTGTCTCGGCGTACCCCGCGATGCTCACAGACAGTCATGACAGCAGAGAGAGGAGCAGGGAAAAGTAGCTGCAGCTAGGCTACATCAAACACAATGAATACTTACAGCATAGTTTCTATGACTTTTTGATAAAACATTCACCCGCCCTGTGGCGGATAGCCCTCTGAAAAGTACTCGCCAAACGGAAAATCTACCCGCATTTGGCGCTTGGCGGGTGAATAGTATCTACAGGGATGTACAACACTGCTTTCTGCTGCGTTATTCTCTCTTGTTTTTCTTCTTAGCCTCATTCGTCACTGTGCTCTTACGGCTCTTAGCCTCAACTTAGCTTTTAGCCTCAGCTAGTTCGTGGCTAAAAACAGAGACAAGCTAACTGGCTAGTGCCATAAAAGTGAAAGCACTTCTGGCGAGAGAACCGCGGCCCGCTGCTTACATAGTACTATAAGCAGACGACAAGGGAGATATGTGGACATGGGAAAGGAGCTTTTCTTCCTGTTAGAAGTTGTTGTAGTATTAGATCAACTGATGAGGATGTGATAACCAATTCTCTAAAAGTTACTTCAAAAACCATACATGTCATATAAAAAGTCCTTCCTCAAATGATAACAGACTAAAGAGAGGAACCAATTCCATACATTGGAAATAGATCCAGTTGTTTCTCCTCGTGTTATGACTGATTAGCTTAGTCTGTGTTTACTGTGGATGGTAAAGCTCTGAGCCTTTTTATTTAATGTGTTTAAATTAAAACATGTCACTTATAAAAGTTAGAGTTAAAGTGTGTTTTAACCATAAGATCACACATCTAAATATAAAACACAGACTGACCATAATTAACCCTGTTCACGTTGTTTCCTCTTGTTTGTACCTCTTTAAAAATGCTTCCTTTGATCTGTTGGTTTAAATTAACGTATTAAAGAACTGTGTATAATGAATGTTAATGTAAAACTTGCTCCGTTTTTTTTAGCAGCAGTTGGGTGCACGGCCCTGACCTGCTGTCTGATGAGAAGCATTTAAAAAAAGTGTTTTTAACATGAAACTTTATTGATGAAAGAATACAGCCTTTAGGATGAGTGATGGGGAAACAAGGACATTTTTATAATTTTTAATGTTGCACTTTCTGTTGTTTAACACTAACAGTAGAAAAATGAAATCAACAGAAGTAACCATCTCCAGCCATGATGGCAGATCAGCACTACTCACTGAACAGGCTGCTGTTTGGGAGCAGTAGAGATGTTTATTTTATTCAGAGATACTAAATTATGGTATCTGAGTATAGACTGGTGAACTCTTGATACCGGATCCCAAATTTCAGTCTGAACAGAAACAAAGAATAAAGCCTTGTTTACAGTTGCACAAAACTCCTGAATCTTTCCCTCTGACTTTATCCCAAGTCTCTTCTGCCAGCCTCCTGGTATATTTTCTGCATGAAGTCCGAGTGAGCTGATGTGAGAACGCAGCAGGAGAATTCCCCTCCTGTGAGTGGGAGGGGTTGGAGATGTTTATTCCTTGCGATCAGAGCACTGCCATAAACTTGAATGCACGTGACTGAAGCACATATTTAAACTGCTGCATTGTTTTCTGTTCATCAGTATTTTTTTCTTCACTTTTTTGTTGATATTGTCAAGCTGTAGTACTACACATAGCATTGACATAAAGTCAATTATTGTCATTATAACGTTGTATAGCTCACTTTATTACATCCGTCACTCCCCCCCATCTGATGGGGACACTCTCCCGCTGTGAGGTGCATGTAACTGACTCAGGAGGCTTTCAGGGGCAGTCCTCCTGGAATTCTCTTTCACGAGTGCATATGTGAAAAAATCGTGTGTCTGATTGATTGATTCTGTACCGTAATAGGGTCAACTAAAACCTTGTTTACTGAACTAAAGCATGTTTATGCTCCAAATACATCTGACAGAGATTATTCTGATTTAATTTATTCTGTGATAGCAAAGAATCAAAGTTTTTCCTTAATCCTTCTAGAAACTGTAACGCCCATCACAACATGTCTAATTAACACTACCCCACCCCCAACCTGTTGAAGCTGACCCCCAGATGACAGCCCTGTTGCCCTGTACTCTTGTAACCCCCCCCCCTGTGTCTGTATTTCTGAATAGGCATAAGTGACTGGCAGTGGAACCACTCAGGGCCACGAAAAGGTAATCCAGTAGCTCGTAGCGGAAACCCCTAAACAATCCTCTAAGTGGCCAGTTTTCACTCCAGTACAGAAGCTTTTCTTATCTCAGCACTGCTATGATTTTAGGTTCTCATGTTCTGAAGATGTAGAGTTTTGTTAATGTAAGGTTAAATTTCATGAAGCAGGATCAGTAGATGTTTGAAATAAACCTCAAACTGGACCATAACACTGAGCTTGATGCACACTGCCTGGCCTAAAATCACAGGTCAAACTACATTCTCAATTCTGTCCCTGATTGGGGATAATTTGGACGGTTCAAGTACCTTCTCAGAATGATCAATAATTATTATTCTGGTAGCATTTTTTATAAAACATGAAAACTTATTTAAGTGATTTCCCAGTTGAGGTTGGGTCCTAACCGGGCCTGACTGCCAGCTGACTTTCTCACAGTGAAGGTGAAATGAGTACATTAAAAGAACCTGAACTTACCTGGGATCAGGTGGATTGTTGGTCCTGCAGTGTGGTGTGCATCAAGCTTTAGATTTACTGAGCTTCAGATATCCTCCATGATGTGTTTAGCTGTGTTTCCACAATAACAACTTCGCCAGGGACATTGGGATGAACTTGGTGTGTTTCCACCTGAGGGGCCAGGGACTTTAAGGCTGGAGATATAGTATTTAGTTTATTTTTATTTTTTACTTTGCGTTCCTTAACACAACCAACTGCATCATGAATTTAATTTTTCACCAGCCTGGCTACACACTACATGTGTTTCTGTAAGATACCTCTAGAGGGCACACCAGTGAGCTTAAGTATAAACAACAGACCTGGGGTCCTTTTCAATAAATTTTACATCCTCTCTCCTCGATTCACTCGGAATTTGTTACTTCTCTGCCACGATGACAATCTTCCTGTGCTTTTATATGCACCTGGCAGAGAAGAGGAGAGAGGAGGCTTCTGGAGGAGCTCAGAGCAAGGGTACACCAGTGTATCCTCCTCAGAAGTCTTTTGACCAAACATGTGACATGAATGGCACCTCCAAACCATTTATACTTATTTTCTTCACATTGATTATTCCTCGAGGGCTAAAATGCAGAAAATACAACAGTTAAACACACAGTGATGGTGAAATGTATTTGTACACATTATACATGAAAATTAAATTCTTTTTCATGCACATTGCACACTTGTGCGTTTATTTAAAAGCAAGAATATCTCCAGTCTTATTCCCTGAAGGTCCCTGTTAGGGAGGTAATGCTTTTGGAAAAATTGGGGTCTTTAGGGGTTGTGACAATCAGAGCCGATATTTTTAAATGCTCTCTTCCACACCTCAGCAGACTAACTTGATGTGTCTATAGACTAAGTGGAAACACAGATAACAATGTCCTGGAGGAAATCCCTTAAAAAATATCCACCAAATAAGTCCTGTTGACTTTTGGTGGAGACTTAGCTTTACTGTTTAAAATGAAAGTTTTGAATGAAAGCAGATGGACAGTTAGCTGGTTAGTCTATTGATCCTGCTTTTTGAATTTACCCCTCAGGTGAGTTGACGGTAGGAGAGATTTTAAATAACTCCTTCCAAGTCCTAATTGACAACTCTCACAAAGGTAGGTTTCCTCCTCCATATTCCCACAGTTGACATAATGCATTAATGATCATGTGGTGACGTTTTCAGCCTCGGAGCGTACAGGGCTGCTGACTCTCCCTGTGCTGGACAGGACATATATTCAGCCTGGCCGATCAGACCTAAAGTCACTTTCTTCTGTCTCTTTAACACAGATGCCAACAATGTGCACAACAACTCCGCCACCTCCACGCCCGTCACCAACTCAGCAGCCATCACCTCAGCTATTAACCGCGGTGCCAGTAACCCCGTCACCATCGCCGCTCAGATGAACATCGCCACCAGCACGGTGAACATCACGTCCTCGATGAACCTGCAGCACCCTGTCACCATCACCGGCCCCGTCAACCTGGCCTCCGTCAACATCCCGACGACAGCACACATGAATATCGCCCACCCGGTGGCCATCACCTCACCCATGTCCATGAATATCACCGGGCCACTCAACATCGCCATGAGGCCCATGGATAGCATGCCTTTTCTATCCCAAGTCCTGCCCTCCTCCCCGCCCTGGTAGAGCTGATTGTAAACTTGTGTTGAAGCTGATCATGTTTTAACTGCCTGATAATGGAGCAACCGGTCACATCTTTATGGTCAATGATGGTGTCTGAAACCTGAAGAGCTGATAACCAATGATAAAAAAAAAAAAAAAAAGTACTGAAGATAGCAATGAATGAATGTTACTCCCATTGTGGCATTATGTGTTTTTTTTTTTTTTATTATTTATGAAAGAAAATGTTTCAGGCTTATCTGGCTAACAGTCAGTCAAAATGAATTGAATGAAGAGATCATTTTTTCGGCTAACCCAGTAGTTAAATCAGTCGACCAATTAAGGTACTTCATCATATTGATGAACTTAATATCTGAAAATAATATCACCATGCTGGAGCCTCGCTCATGAAACTATAACCCGTACTGTCAAATTGCCATATCTAGTAGTAGGGAGTTGGAAGGAAAAGGCAGATTTAAAGTTTCTGGTTATATCTGCCTGTAAAGCTCATTTAATACTTTAATAATTTAATGGGAAAGATCTTAATGAATTCTAAAACGTCCTGAGATTAAGTTGTTTTGATCAAGTATTTACTTTGATGGTCAGATTAACTTATTTTTGTTTTGATGAATGATGCTACAAAACACTCCAGATTAAGTTTTTCTCATGCAAACATGACTTTGGTGGGGAGGATGTGTGGAGGGGGTTATTTAGCGCACATTTTCTCTGTAAATATAGACCATTAATGCCAAAGATTTTCTAAGTGAACTGTTTCCATTTGAATGCTATATTTAAAAGGATGAAATAAGCATTTGGACAGCCTTTAGACCATCAATAGACACTTAAATGTCCTTCAAAAACCTGCAGTAAAACACCTCCAGCCCCAATCCACATCACCAATTTACATTACCCGTCATGTCAGTGAGATAATCTTTTAACTTTTTATATTTTGTTTTTAAATCTGATCATGTTTTTAATGTTACTGGATGATCGTCACATCTTCAGGTTTCATGACACATTCAAACAAAAAGAGTATTTTCTTCCACAGTTGAACATTATCAGGCAGTTAATACAGCATCCGTTTCAACATGTTCACCCTTACTGTGTTTGTATTTATCCCCTTTTATTTCACTCGACTAGTTTGTTTCCTCTGACAGATGGTAGAATGGTAGAATGGTAGGGTGAGCAGTCTCATCACAGCAGTAAACACTCAACAGCATGCTGTGAAGCAAACCCTTTACAGCCAATTTTTTTTTTTCGGACTTCTTTTTAAAGTTCTATTTAGCCACAGAAGGACCGTGTAGTTTTTGTAAAAGTGACCAGTGAAAGATGATTTCCTCAGCTGGTCGTGTGACTTCAAGCATGGGTGATGTGTGACACCTGAGGAATTGTTTCACAGCTCCTTAAATGGAAGTGTATCGCTGGACTTCTTAAACACTTCCCCTTAAGGCAGATTTTTTTTTTCAAGTTCTTTTTATATATTGTTTTTAGTGGACTTATCAGTATTTGATAGTTTATGTATTTTAAAGTTAAAGCTTCCATTTTGGGGGAGGGAGGGGGTGAGTGATAATCTTTATTTCACTGATGTTCCAGAGGAGGTCTTTGATCTGTCAAACATCTGCTCCCCCCATGTCTGTATTTCAACATTGCTGGAAACCAGTCACTTGTCACTGCTGCATAATCTGCACAAGTTTATCTGTGACATGTGTTTGTATGTATTTATAAATCAGGACAAGACGGTTGAAGGTACAGCAGATAGGAAATGTCTCGTTCTAAAAGCATGTTCCCAAGGTTTTTGCCTTTTTAAATGGCAGTATTATCAAAGGTCAAATGATTTTAATTTTGATTACTGACAGCTTTTTTAACTGTAGAGGTCAAGAGCGCCACCCAGTGGCTTATTAGACTGTGATACACAAGCAGTCCCAAAGTTAACTCTTGCGCTATGTTCAGTTGATTAGATAGTTTACTTTAGCAGGTCTAGGATCCCATCACTGTCAGTCAAACTCAGGAAGGTTACTGAGAATAGTCTTCAAACATTTAACACTGATCATTTCTTTGTAATTATCAAACACTATCTTATTGCCTTTCACCTGTGGGAGCATTACTGGGCTCACCACAGGAAACAATGCAAGAACTGTATCACCACTTGTGTGGCCGTCCATCAGGGAGAGTTCAGAGAAATGAACAGACTCAAAAAAGGGAAAGAGCTGGAGTCGGGTTCTTCTTTTATAAACACAAGTCCAAAATTCTAAAATGTATACCTTCAGCGAGCATCAGGTGTGTAGCTGCAGCTTGGTGTAGTTTTTGCCTCAAATAACACAGAAATTCAGAATTAGTCATATAAAACTATTCAAAGAATTAACAGTCATTTTGAATTCAGGCCCTATTTTAATGACTTGTGTACTAAATGTTTTGGGATTGGGGTTGCCTCAGCGGGCAGCTAAAAAGGCTACAACACAACCCTGCTGGCAAATTATCCAAATTAAAGTATGTCGACTGTAACTGCTTGTTTTGCAACTGACAGAGCATTTATTCCAAGTGTCCGAATGTCTACCTCTTCTCACCAATTCTGACTTATACTTCCATTCTCATCCTCCTGCAACATCTCAACTCTCAAAACAAGATTTTGAATGAGAATGACTTGACCTTGAGCCAGGCTTGTCCCGAAGCTAAATTTACCTCCTGGGAAACTTTCCTTGTTCAGGACAATGAAGACCTGTCCCATCAGCTCGTATGTTCATGCAAGACTTCTCCTGAAGGAGACTTGTCCCCGATGAAGACCTTCTCCTAGGAGACTTTTTCTTTAGTGAGTCTTCTTTTTGATCATGATCTTCTTAAGCACAAGTCCTTGTGAGAGACTTTTCCCTGGGCAGATTCATCATTCAAGTGAGACTTGTCCTTGAATGAGACCTTGGAGAAGGACTTTGAGCTGAACTGCTTTTCTAGTTGGACTTCTCCTTGAGGGAAACATTGCTCTTGGTGAAACTTTCTGACTTCTTGAGGGACCTCAAGTGAGATTTGTCCTTGAGTGAGGTCTTCCTGGAATGAGGCTTGTCCTTGATGAGGACCTGTTTTAAGTAAAAGTTGTCCTTGTTCCAGTTTTCTTCAGCTGCATCCAGCAGTCCTTGATCTTAAATGAGAATTTTCTTTACTTGAGCAAGACTTGTCCCTCAGGGGGACTGCTTAATGATTGGGAGTTATGTTTGTTATTAACAAAAAAAAACTTAATCTCTATTAAAAATGCACCTTTGGAGCCTATCCATGATGTCAGCCATAAAAGCAAGCACTTGCAGTTGCAAACTTTCCAGGGCCGGATAACCCAAATGATGTCCTCTAGGAGTCACTTATGGTGGCATTACAAAATTAGTTTACAAATGTCTTCCTTTTAGAGATGACCTCATTGTCATATAAATAGACTAAACAGGACCATCTCATTAATGAATGCAGTTTTTAAAGAGCCAAAATCACTCCAGCCCTTTCCTTTGCCAGTTTGACTTTCTCTGTAGATCTCACCTGCACAGCTTGGAGTGTGGTTTAGTTCAGCTGTTATTTTATCACTTATTGTTTCTGGACAGTTGAGGCTGTGATCACAAAGAAAGCTTTATAAAGTGTCAGAAGGGGTTGCCAACCCATCGTCATGGATTGCCAATCCACTATATGTTACATCATTCAAGGTTCTTCAAAATTCTCACTCGGGGGTTAAAAAAGTGAAACCCCAAAAGTCATTCTGAAGCTGTGTTCAGACCAAACCTTGTCATCTCTGGTATCATATCGGCACCTGGATTCTCACAGCTGGATTAATCGTCCAACTCCTCCATAAACTGTGTCTGGGTGAACTTTTCCTGCTTCCAGCAACTTAAGGCTGAGGCATTCCCAGTTTGATTAATTGCCGATTATGAGTACGAGCATTTCTCTTAAGGACACAAACTAGCAGTGTTAAAACAGTGGAGCTCCTGTCCATCTGTCTCGACTGAGCGAGTTTCCCTGTATCTAACAAGGCTAAAGTTGGCTCATAATCTGAGTAAGTACAAAAACAGTACTGACAAACATTTCTGAAACTTGTTACTCGTGAGTATTGGTGATACATGAACTGTAGTCCAGTGCTGGATTTTTTTAATGGCCTGAAATGACCAATGAAATGGCCCTGTGAAAGATTGACTTACTTTTGGTCTGAACAGAACTTAATACTATGGTTGTTCCACTTCTTGCAGTCCTACACGTAGTAGGAATGCAAACTCCATGTTTTGGGGGTCCTCCCTTGGAGCCAGTCATCAGTCCCCATGTTAGGGCTGTGATGTTGAGACTCATTGAGAGCTGGGGCTTATACTACTAGGCAAGGTGAACATAAAATGTATCTTTGGCTTCATTAACACGGGCATAAGAGTGCGTTCACACAGTGTTAGATTCATATAACCTATCTTGTGGTGTGTAATATTTCAGCTCCAACGGTATCAAATAGTGTGTTCTGGAGCTTTAGTAGGATGATCTTTTAAGTTACCACGGTTACCTATCTGGGTAAGAAGTGAATGGCCTTGGTAGGTGCTAACCCTGAAGTTACCTTGATAACTAAACAGCCTGCTTATTAGTATATCCCCCAGGTAACTGAAAGGTTTGATGTGTCATCTCAGCCCTTGAACAGCGAGGGGTTAAAGTCTCTTGTGATCTCAGCCTCAGCGGTTCCTGCACCAGGCCTGCGTAATGTTGCGCAGCTCGGGCTGTTTGTGTCGTGAGGACAAAAGCAAAATTAGTTTGTAGATGTGAAGCCTTTCTTAGTGAAGGCCTTTTTTTTTCAGTGCAGGATCTCTGAAGCACTTGCAGCAATTTGTAGGATGTGCACACTACAGAGGAGCGGTACTTAGAGGGGCATTTATGTTCGGTGGAATCACACAATGGTTGGCCTGTTAAGGTTTATGTTTGCATGCCAACACAATCCACCAGTGCTCTAACACAGAATGGCATTATGATCCTGGAAAAATTACTCATTTTATGTCACTGTTTGTTTTTTTCTTTTGTTTCCAATGTTGCATGTGGACAATGGAGCTCGTCCAGTGTAGGTTTGAGTTCAACAACCGTTCTTAGAAGGCTAGACTTTTTATGAAAAGAAAACACTAAAAAAAAAAAAAAAAAAAAAAAAATGTAGGATGACACAAAGTGTGAGATGTCATTTGTCCTTCTTCAGTGGCCGTAAACGAAGTGTGCCTGAAAAACTTCACAAGGCTTCTTCCACACGTCGACTCTTCCTCCCGTGGGCGGTCTTCTGTGTGGCAACGAGGTCTGTGAAGACGCCTTCATCAGTTCAGATGTTCAGATGTTCTTGGGCCCTCAAGGTCTGTAAACCAAACTGTCATGATTTGCTTTTTCATTTTTAAACCGGATTATGTTTTGTATCAGAAACAGCATTAAAAAACAATAATTGATCTTTATTTGTTAATGTATGGATGACATATATCCATGTGGTTTAATTTGACTCCAACCTTATGTGAACAAACATTTATTTGGCCAAACTATCTTTTTTTATTTTTTCAAGTTTGTGATGAATTTGGCAGATGTGAAGGCAAATGAATGTATATCTTTGTACAAACCATTTAGTTCAGAGGACATGTTAGCTAAGAGACTCATGCAAGAAAAACAAACCTTTTATAAAACTTTTTGTATTAGAACATTAACAATGGTAATTTTTGTATATACGAAGGCTAGGCTTTCTGATTAGCAGAAAGGTAAAACATTCCTACATTTTTTTTTAAATGTATGTCCATTGAGAAAATTAATTATGGAAAAATGCGCAATGTTTTATGTGCCTTTTATTTGGGTTTGTCTAAATAAAAGAAACCAATAAAACATGACTGTGGACTGTCAGTGCTGAGTCGATCCTGTCCATCTCAGCTGCACCCAAGATGCTCCTCCTGACCAGGAAAGATGCTCCTCCTGACCAGGAAAGGTGCTCCTCTTCAATAGGAGAAATATTCCTCTTCATCGAGAAAGATGCCCCTCTTCATGGAGAGTCACTCCTCATCATCAGGAGAGAGGCTCTCTGGCCGTAGTTTTAGTTTTAGTTTGTGTTTTTTTGGAGGTTCAGACGGATACCAAAGTCCTCTCTCTGTTTGAGGTATCTTTGTGTCTTCACTGGCTCAGTGTCCTTACAGTTGGCCCACTCATGATGAAAGTGCCTCTGTGACTTCGCTAACTGGAGTGGATTGTGGAGGATTTTGTGCCAAATCGTCGTCTGCAAGTGACGACAAAAACATTTTTTTTTTTTTTTTTTTTTCCATTAACTATTAAACTTGGAAAATGGCACAGGCTGTGTGAAGTGTGTCTTTGATTAGTGGCATCTAAAGGAGTTCAGATTTGATTTGGACTGTTGCGTCCTCTGGGCCCAGGGAAATCTTACTGGTCCCTCATGCAGACATATTTCAGACTTGGGAAAGGCCTTCCTCTGATTAAACATGAGTCAAAGCAGCTCTTGGCAACTGGCCAAGGGTTAAATTCCTCAAAATGATTGAATGTTTGATAGTTTTGAGCAGGGCGGAAGTTGTTAAAAAGATTAATTGCAGAAATAAATATTAATGTGTACTATTTTTATAGCAGTTTTTTGAAAGTTGACATTTTTGTCCTTAATGACTTAAGAGGGTAGTCGATTAAACTGATGCCTGAGGGTGAAGCTGCTGCCCTGTAATAACATTTCTTACACGAGAAAGTGCTGAACTTTAGGGGCCGTAATCACAAAGCCTCCTAAATACTAAGAGTTGCGCCTAGTGATGAAATTCTAATGAATGATTTATGAGCCAGGAATGGACAGAAACGTTTATCTTAGTGAGGAGGCGTGGTCAGCCCTGTTGCTCGGTATGACAACCTTTTTCAGAAGCTGTGATTGCCCACTTGTGCAGCAGCTTCTTCACATGCTGAGAGTTATATCAGCATGTGAAGAGCCTTAATTAGTGATGAGATAAACCTGTGGAGGTAACCACATGTAGAGGAACTCAACATGCATGTCTCACTTTGTACTCAAACAAGTCATAGAAGGATTGAAATGTCTGCACAAAATATTTTTGTCTGTTCTGCCCGACTGAGTCAAAAATATTCTTCATGTTGTGTTTAAAGAACATTTCTCAGTTTTCTCCTCAGCTTGAGAAACTCTTCATCCTGTGCAAAGTCCTCCTCACTACTCCTAATACTTTTACACCTTATGGAGCTCTCTTAAAGGCTAAGGAGCTTTGTTAATAACTTTCATCTTTAAAATGATCTAGTCTAAACGTTGAGGGAAAATTCTTAGAAAATGTCTGGATTCTAAGAATTGTGTCACTAGGAGCGACTCTTAGTGCTTAGTAGGCTTTGTGAATTTATGGCCCCAGTACTTTTAAAAAATGCTGATCAAAAAAATAACAGATTGTATGCTTTTAAAATGTGGCCTGTTGTGTAATAGAGGTGTTGTTATAGTAATATATCAGGGTTGACTGATGCTGTGGGCCCAGTAATCCTGGAGACACCTCTGCCTGCAGCTTCAGTACTCATGGATTCAGTTTAAATCGTGTTTTATCGCTCTATGTGTATCGGATGGAGAGCTGCACAGGCTTCAGCTGCTGTCATTAGTCTGAAGCATCATCCAGAAAACAAAGAAATGCAGAATAATTTATTCCTGTCTAACTTTTTGGAGCTGCATTAAAACAGAACTTTTGCATAAGCCTGCATTCTGTACTCTTTCTAGCTCGTTCCATGCTCTTTTTGTTTGACTGTTCCCGGCTGTTCAAAAAGGAACCCCCCATTGTGTTTTGAAATCTTTGTTGCACTGTACATTGCCAGCCTTTGTAGCACCGTCACACAATGCCAGTTTCAGACAGAGCGGCTCAATATGTGTGGTCAGCCTATTCTCCCCCTGCACGCTCAACACGATTCATCTCATCATTGCTTCAAGATAAAAAAATAGCCATGCACGCTGCATGGCAAAGGCCACTGTGTGAGGATTTATTCTGGAAAAATCAAGGACACATTCAGGTGAGTTCTTCATTTTATAACTTTCTACTATTAAACAAAAGAGGAGCTTGTCTAACTGTCTGGCAAGGAGTCAGACTGACAGAAAAACTCATATTTATAGAAACCCAGTTATAAAGAGCTACAAATGATAAGTCTGTGTGATGTGAAGTTTCAACTTTAGTGTGGAAAAGAATGAAAGCCACTGAAAAACACTGAAGGTTTAAAGTTACAGAAAAGGCTTTGCTGAAGCTGACATTTATATATTTTAGATGAATTACCTCCTAATTCAAAACTCCCATGCTCTGACAAACAGAAATATTTCACTGAATTTATCAGCATCCTCACCTGAATTTATTTCCTCATTATATAAAGAAAAGTCTTTCATCTATAACAATAATGCACTGAATAGGATGTCAGCTGAACGCCTGAGACTGACTCAAGCTGATCCAGGTGTCTGATACCAAAACAACGTTTCTCCAACCTGTAATCAACCTGTGTATTTTTAATCAATATTATGTGCACTATTATTCTATTACTGTTTCCCTTCGCCTGGATTGTTAATCATCATCATGGGATGGGACAGTTGGGGGTGAAATGTTGAGCTTGTTTACAAAACAATCTCAGCAGAAATGTCCCCATGGGATCAATAGAGTGCTTCTGTTTCCTATTCTATGGAGCCCTAAGCGGACATACATCAATATATTTAGTTTAACTCCGCGTCCCAGAGGTAACAAATACATTTCAGTTGTTTTCTGGAGATCTTTATTTTGGGACATCAATGGGTGGGTTTCTGCTTTCTGAAAAAACTACAAATATGTCTGCCACTGCTGCGTAAAAGTCTGAATCTGATATTACTTCACCATGACACAAACTGGACAATAGTTCATGCTGTGTATAAAAGATGAGTTCTGTATTATGTTAAACTAGAAACTACATGAAATGAATGTTTACGCTGACACCCTGACCCTATAGAGCACATATTCTATAACTTGGACTTTTAGTAGGTCCAGAGGCATTTAGCTACATTCACAATACATCAAGAAGAGCAAAAATGAAAGTTGTAAAGGTCTGGTAGTCCAGATGATGACCTGTCAGGTCACCCCCAACCCCCACCTCCCACACACATCAGCAAAAATCAACCCTGAGATATTGCCACATTAATAAATTAGGGTTGATATTCCATTACACAAATGACACATTCAAAGACCTAATCTAATGTCAGGCACATTTTACTCCATTGGTTTTGGTACAATACATTTTAAAAGGATAAAATATCTGTTACTTTAATGATCCCCACTATCAAAAAGGACTGACGCTTTAAAAAAAATTATGTCTCTTTTATAAGCTGCACACTGCCTTACTGTAATTGCACAAGTACATTGCCAACTTTCGGATTTATGCGTTGGATAAATCCCAATGTTGCCAATGTCTAACGCATAAAATCTAAAGTTGCCAAGTTGACAACGTTTGATGCTTCAATCCCAACCAAAGTCTAAAGTATAAATGGAAGTTGAGCTTGTATAGCACATTACTAGTCTTCTGACTACTCAAAGCACTTTTAAACCGCAGGTCACAGCTTTTGTATAATTAAGAAAGTGTGCAGGAGTTTGCCTGAAAATGTTATTAATTACACAACAAATTATCCTATATTGGGTTTCCAGGACTTCTATTTGTGATGCTGTGTTATCAAGCAGGATCAGGCCAGGATCAACTTTTCAAGGGGCATAAAGGTCCGTCCAGCCAATTGTTGTATAGGCAGGTCCCCTCCCCACAAGAACCTGTCCTCCCAGGAAGCGCTGGCGCTCCTTTGAGGACCATTTGGAGGTAAAAATAAAAGGACACTGGTCTTGATTTAGACATGATCCTCCCAGTGGAAACATTCATCCTACGTCCCAATTCAAGGGTAAATCCTTCAGAGGGCTCATTTAGAGACTGATAACATCCCAGTGGTTCATTGAGGGCTGAAAGATGCGCTGTATACCTTCATAACCCAACATATCCCATGATTCATTGCAGACCAATTCATTGTTCAGGCTGAGTCAGGAGCGTCTCTAAGATTTCTGGGCCCCATGAAAAGATATCTCATTGGGCTCCTCTGCCACAGTCAACCCTGAGATATTACCATAACCACACCTCCATTACCGAATGGATTATTAAAAGATTTAAGTTTAGGTCGGCCACATTTTACTCATTCAGTGCTTTTTGATAGCACACGTATTAAAAGGAATATTGCCAATATTGCACAAATATGTTTAACATTTCAGTAGGGCTTCCTTATGAAACTTCTTTTTTTTAAATATCATCTATTTCATAAGATGTGTGCTTAAGAGAAGAATGAGTCCGTCATGAATTATATTGACAACAGTGGGATTTGTGCGTCAGACTATAAGAACACATACTTTCATTTGTGCAGTCCGACTCACAAATCCCAATGTTGCAAATGTTTTTTGTGCAATTTAGACAGTGTGCAGGAACTTCCCTCCATTTGTTGAAAAAAAAACAAGAAATTTCCAAATATTTGATTACCTCAGACTTCTATTTTTGGTGCCATGTTGTCAAAATTTTACTAGAATCGTATCAAAGATTAAAATTCTTAAAGCAAATTACACAAAGCTGGCTGGATGATAAACCCTCCTCTATTAATGCATGGAAGTTAACAGTGGAAGATATTAAAGAAATGGAAAGAATTACATATAGGCTAAGACACAGAGAAGATGAATTCATGTGTTACTGGAGTAAATGGATAAAGGAAACAGATAAAGTGGAATAATAACAGGTATGTAAATTAAATTATATTAAATTAAGAGAGTAGTGAAGGAACATTTCATGTATGTATTCTTGTATGTTTAAAAAACTATATATAAAAATGTGCCAGGATGAACAAAAATTGTGATGAAATATGACAACTTGTAATGAAGTAAAACAGCCTGCACTAAAGTATTAAAAAAAAAGATTAAGATTAAAATTCTGGTATTGTGACACTGTTAAATAATTATAAATACAGTATATCGCCTGTCCATAGCCCTAAAAGGTCGGTTTGATTATTTTTTGTGAGTGTGACTTCTGTTTTGTTTTTTGTTTGTTTCATTTGTTTTTTGTTTTGAAATAAATTCTTGGAACAAATTTTGCTCTGCTATGTTTTGTTTTTTTGTAACCAAACTAGTAGTGTCTTAAACAATAAGGTATGTAACAAGGGTAGGTGTAATAAGCTAAAGCTTCAATCTACACCTTTTCAGTCAAAATGTTTTTGTTTTTTTCTTGTGACCGAAATAAATCATTATTATTATTATTACTACAAGTAAAAAAAAAAATGATATGCTGGCTGACTGGCTGTTAACATCCCTAATGATGTGTCATTTACCTTCTCTCTCAGGGTGAGCGATGGGGGATTGGTCCATTCTCGGCCGCTTCCTGTCCGAGGTCCAGAACCACTCCACAGTGATCGGGAAGATCTGGCTCACCATGCTGCTCATCTTCCGCATCCTGCTGGTGGCGCTGGTGGGCGACGCCGTGTACAGCGACGAGCAGTCCAAGTTCACCTGTAACACCCAGCAGCCCGGCTGTAACAACGTGTGCTACGACACCTTCGCCCCCGTGTCTCACCTGAGGTTCTGGGTGTTCCAGATCGTGCTGGTGTCCACGCCGTCCATCTTTTACATCGTGTTCGTTCTTCACAAGATCGCCAAGGACGAGAAGCTGGGCGAGCAGAAGCCTCAGGTGTTGACTCAGAGAGCATCCAGACAGAGGCGGGAGAGGAGCATGGAGAAGGAGGGGGTGGAGTCTCTGAGAGTGGGCGTGCCTACATACTGTCCCCACTACAGGGAGGACTGGGACCCCCGGGACAGGGAGGGGGAGGGTCAGAGGTACCTGGAGGAGGATTATGGCGAGGTCGGGGAGGACCCCACCCGTCAGTCCAACCAGATCCTGCTCATCTACATCCTGCACGTGCTGCTGCGCTCCGTCATGGAGATCACCTTCCTGATTGGTCAGTACTTCCTGTTTGGGTTCGAGGTGCCTCACCTGTACCGCTGCGAGACCTACCCCTGCCCCACCCGGACGGACTGCTTTGTGTCCAGGGCCACAGAGAAGACCATCTTTTTAAACTTCATGTTCAGCATCAGCCTGGGCTGCTTCGTGCTCAACATGGCCGAGCTGCACTACCTCGGCTGGGTCTACATCTTCAGGATCCTATGCTCCGCATGCTCCACCTGCTGCGGTCAGGACAGGGACACCATCCGCCTGTACTCCCACCACAACCCCCTCCTCCTGCAGCTCCGACACTCTCTGAGGGGACAGCTCGTCCTGCAGACACCGTCCGCCATGGTCCCCGAGAAGAGCGGGGGTCTGCTCGCACATGGCCCGGCCATCTCCTTCGAGACCGACTCGACCGTCGAGTGCACGTCAAAGAGGAGTCCAGAGAGCAGGGACAAGGTCAAGGTGAAGCTGGCCAACATGGCCCGCATGGGACGGACTAAGAAGTCCTGGCTCTGAGAGAGACCACTTTAGATCCGCGACGAAGAGGACTGACACGCTTCACATGGACATTAATATTAAAAAGACAATGTGACCTTTTAAACTGCTGACACATCACTTTATATCTGAGACAAAGAGAACTGTAACACTTCACATGGACATTCATTTTCTGAATATGTAGACAGCAGGAGAATCTGTTTCTTTAGCTGTGTCCTAAATCAGTTCAGTATACTTAAAGTACACAGACAGCAGAGCAGTGAAGAGAAGTTGAAGGATTTCTTTCTCACCTCTTACACAATCAAGACTGAGGCAAAGTGTCAGTGTTGATTTCATCAAAACTTTTGATTATTACTTCTGCTACAAAAAAGTATAAATCGTACAAAACACACGTCATAAGTAACTTAAATGACGTAGGAAATTATTTCAACCCAAACCAGCTTTGAAAAAATATATATTGATCCAACCTTTACTTAGCCAGGTTTGTCGAGACAGTCAGCAGCAAAAAACACAAAGTTACAGACAGAGACACAAAAGGAGAGAAGGAGACAAAGTCAGTCAATCAAATAAGCAATCAATCTATTTGTATAGAGCCAGTTCATAACAAAAGTGATCTCAAGACACTATCAATGAGTATAAACTGGGAACCAGTAGTTCAAGCAGTTGAGCTAAAAACATCAACATCCTGTAGAATCTGCTTCCAAGTGTTTCATTTTAGATTTTAAAACATTTAAGGACTTCAGTTCCTTGCGTTTGAAGTCATTCTGTAACAGACTCCAGGCTGAGGGCGCAGAATTAAAAAACCTTTTTCGAATGTATTTCCGAGCGTTTGGGACAGAGAGTATTAAGAGATCCTGAGAATGCAAAAAACATCTAGTACTACTTCTATTTATTTAAACCAAACCGAGATGATTTGGTCCCTAAATTTTACCAAACAGCGACTGTTTATTACCTTAAATACGTGTAACAAAGGCTTTCTTCTTCTTCTCTTGTCTGCACTTTCATCTGGCTGTTTCCTCTGTGACTACACTTCATTTTTGACACATTTTGTGCTTAAGTGGTAAATCCTTTAAGAGAATTACAGATGTGGTCATTCATGTGATTCTGTGAGACCATGTTGGATATTTCTGTCACTTTATGTGCATATAATCTGGAATCTCGACATCATGAATGTCTTCAAGTTGATGCATGTAAATGTCTGTCTTTATAACTGGCCTCCAACACGTCCTAGAGTTTAGAACAGCCTGATAACTCCTCATACCTGAAGATGTTTTTAGTTATAACTCTGGTTTATGGAGATATTGTGAAGAGTACAGATGAAATAATCTGGTGTTTTACAGCATTATCAAGTTTAAAGAACAACTGTGGGGATCACTTTTTCAAGCAACATGAAAACAGAACTGACTTAAAACAAGCAGAAAGAGAAACCTTTGGTAAAGAATTTACGATTCATCTAATCCGTGTTAATAACTTCACCTAGAAATGCTCCACCCTGTGCAGAGCTGATGATGTTGGGACACAGCTTTAGATTCATGATCCTGCTCAGTCTGTACGATGATTCAGATATTTAAAATGAAACAGAATATTAACACACATGTTGATTGTTCACATCATACTCAGCAGTGGTTTCTAAATTATTGTTGAGGCAGATTGGGTTTCAGCATGGACATGGAATAATTCCTCATAAAGTTTAAAATGATCACGTTTATAGAAATGATGAAGTTTCATTTCTGTGCTGTTGCTGCTGAAGTTTTAAACCTAAATCAGATATTTGAAAGTTTTGACTGTGTTGTGATGAAGCAGCCGCCACAGTGTGACACTGTTGTTATTTTTGGCCCTCTTTAGGCTTCATTTTTATTTTTATTTTGCTGTGAACAATCATGTTGTCAACCTTTCAGTTTTCACACAGAAGAGTTCTTTATCTGGATAAAAGAGGACTTAGTAGGCATTATCAACTTTCTTATTTTTTTAAAGATCACACACACACATGACACAAGCCTGTAGGTTGTTATTTTGCAGTTTATTCCTAACAGCCTATCTCACAGTTATAATAACTTACAGAGAATACATTTTTACATTCAGTGAACAGCAGTAATGTACACACCACAACTCTAACCTGAAGATTTCAGAAAGTCTGCCCCTGAAATCCTCCTGAGAATGTTTTCACACGAGAAATGTTCACTGTCGGACAGAAGAAGCAGAGTCTTTTGACATTAAGACAGTTTTTGTCTTTATATCAGTGCCACATGTAATTGGACATTATAACAGTAGAGACAAAGAGTTTTAAAGAACATACTGGTGAGCAGAGAAGAAAATGAAGGAGCTTCATTACGTGCACATCGATCCCAGGATATAAACGCCATCGCCCCCTCCTGCTCACTCAAGGGGAATTTTCCTGCTGCGTTCACAAATCTCACCCTGACTTCTCACTGAAAATGTACAAGGAGGCTGGCAGGAAGAAGTCTGACTCAAGCCAGGGTGAAAACTTTGGCTCTTTATTCACATATCCAGCTCACGCTGAAAAAAGTTTTTTTAAATGTGAAAACATCACAAACCATCAGATCATCATGTGCAGTATGCTCCATATGTGGTAACAAACAGTAGCCTAATGATATGTGCTAATATTAGTTTATTGTAAAGGGTGGGACAGTGCTTTGTAATTAGGTTAAATGAAATGTATAAATATCACAGTTTGATGTCTAATGTTGTGTTTTGATCAGCTGACTGGTCACCTCGATCAGTCATCCTGAGCTCTCATCTCGTGTTTGGAAATGATGAAGTCACATCATCTATCTGCAAACTGTTTACAGTCTGCTAATGTTAGCTGACGGAGGGTAAAACATATTTAATATACACAGCATGTCCTTTATAACCCTGATCAGCTAAACATTCCTCAGGTGCTATGACACATTCTGTCCTGCAGGTGGAGCTCTAAGCTCGTAGTGCAGTATGTCCTGTCACTGCTCACATAACCAACAATGTACAGTGTTTAAAGATTAAAGATGTACACTTTTGATCTCCATGGCAACAGATAATTAAAATAAAATAAATTACTTTTGAGAGAAATATGAGTGCTCTGTAACAAACATTAAATCTCCTGTCTGGTTCAGATTTAATAAACGTGTTTTTCTTTCTATGGTATAAACCCATTTATTGCATCTGAATTATCACTAAAAATCCAGTTGATAATCAGCATGTCTCTGCTGATTATCAAACATTTTCATTATGTCACAGTCTGTCTCTGTTCCATGCCTGCAGATTTACTGTTACAAATTTCAGACTTCATCTCCACCATCACCTGTTTCCACTTCAGTATTTTGTACATTTAACCAACTTTCATTCAGCACCTGTCTGTTCCTCTTAGAACATAGATCTCTGTCTGACTTTGGGTCCTACCTCTGTCCTGCAAAACCAACACTGACAGCCAACCTGCAGCTCAACTGCAAGAAAGAGACCAAAGACAATGAAATGTGGTAACAGTAATGTTTTATAAAGGTAGATGTTTAGTGTACAGCCAAATCTGGAAGGCTTTGAATAATAAACTGGACCTCACCTGTAACCCAGACAGTCTGAAAACTGGAGTTCTCCTATGTTTTTATGAAACCATCTTATGAGTATGTTTAAGCTCCTCCTGACTCTGTCCTTAATATAGTTGTTTACCATACAGTGAGTGTTCAGGTGTAACACATTATTTGATCAAATCTCTGTTTTCTCCAGAGTTACTTCACAATCTTGAGCTGAGAATCCTTTCCAAAATACAACTCTTGTACCAATTGGTCGTGCAGAGTATGAATGTTTGCAGATTAAGGATGTTGCTGTTTAGTGTTTAGGTGGCATCACTTTTTTCTTTATTTGTTTTGGTTTGATTTTGTGCAATTAAGATAGTGCTCTCCCTCGTTTTCTTGCAGCAACTTTTGGTCAAAAATATGGTGCCTAAAAGGTAATACTGTTTATTTGTAAAATTAAGACACTGTGTTGGAGTTTCAATGGATTCTTTTATGTTGCCTATACTAACTTCTTCTCTTACATATCAATTTTCTAAAATACAATTAGACCTATCTTTTTAATGCTTCAGTACTTTCTGATAACATCCATCATTGAAATAAAGATTGTATCATTTGTATCAAAGGGGTGTTTTGAAAGAGTAAAATGTTGACGACCTAAATTTAAATCTTATAATGAGTCATTTGTGTAATGAATGTGTGGTTATAATAACATCTCAGGGTTGACTGAGGCTGTGATGGAGGTGCCCGCATATCTGTTCATGGGACCCTGAAATCCTGGACAAGCCTCTGGACAATCCTGCAGCACAGGTGAACTCATTTTTTAAATGTAAGCCTATTTTATTTAAAGGTGTGCTCGGCTCTTTGAATGATTATTATTTCAGACAGGTAACCCATCATATCTCTACATTTCGCGTCAGTGCATCTGATTGTTGACCGTTTAACGGGGGCAGGGCCTGAAGAATTACGTCACACAGTCGGTCAGTGACGTAGGAGGAGGGACCGCAGACGGACTGATCCCACGTGTGACGGAGCGCCGTCTTCCGAAGCCCGGCTCCATCCTCCGACCCTCCGTCCGCGAGTGTCCGTCAGTCAGCGCTTGCAGCCCGGGCAGACATGGAGGGAGACCGGGGCCAGTCTTCGCCTGGAAGCCCGAGCGATCCGCACCAAGACCCGGGGTAAGGTGACCATCTGTCGGCGTGATTTCACTGCTGCGTCTCACCCTAGCTGTTCTTTAAGAAACTGTTTGACTTTCCTCTGCCTTCATGGTCCGGTCAGCGGCTCATGTTTAAAATGTAAAATCAGACCTACCTTTAGCGGTATACGGCCCCGATGTGAGCTGTTACTGCGCGGGTCGAAGGACGCACCAAACCTCGTTTAGAAATCTCCCGTTTTAATACTACCATACCTGTGGCTTTACACACACGAGTTAAAAAAATGTGATTTTCTCATTTAACGTAATTTAACTTGTTCTTTTATGATCGGCATGTAGTTAACTGGGTTAGCTTCAAGTTTTTTCAATTAAACATATAAATAAGAGTTGGTATGCTGCTTCTTAGTAACTACTCACTGACAGTGAAGATGTAGCCTACATTTGTCTAACCTGACCCAGATTGAAAGTTGAACTAAGCAATTATTAACTCTGCACAGTGTATGAAATGCATGCCGAATGCAACACCATTTTCAGACAAAACCTCTGCACTCTGCAGTTTTCATTCATCCGTCGTTGTTTGCTTCTTATAAGAAAGAAGAGTTTACACTGCATGTTTTGAATGAAGGCTGGCGGGATTCCTCAAAAGCGGACAGAAGGGCTGCTGCTGCTGCCTGATCGGCTTCGGGATCTGAGCTGTCCTTTCTTCTGACTCATATTGTCCCTACATTTTAAACTTCAATGCAGACAGAAAATAATTCAGCTCGACGTCAGAATTTTCCATAATAATCTGGACTAACTTCTGGGTTTTTCTTCCTCCTAAAGGAAAATGTTCATTGGTGGGCTCAGCTGGCAAACTTCACCAGGTAAGACCTCTCTCTCTCTCTCTCTCTCTCTCTCTCTCTCTTTGTGTTAAGCAGTGCATGAGTCCTCCATTAGACATCTGTGTATCACTCTGACATTCACTGTTTACTGTTTTCTGAATTAAAACTCATTATAAAATGGTGTCATTGTTTCTCAACAGACAGCCTTCGAGATTATTTCAGTAAATTTGGTGAAATCAGAGAATGTATGGTGATGAGAGACCCGACCACTAAACGCTCCAGGTAATTATTATCACATCAACATTCACACCTGTAGAAAACAATGTGCAATGTGAGCTTGTGTCCTGCAGTGTAATAACTCCCTGCAGACATTAAAGTGTGTTTGTTGTGAATGAAAAGATAATGCAGTTTGACATTGTCCTCAGAGCTGAGGAGAAAAACCCCCCTGCTTTTACTCCCCTCGTTTATTACCTTTTCATGCCTTTCTAAAAGGATGTCACAATGCTACATATGAAAGTAAACAGTCGTTTAAACAACCTTACACAATCACATTGACTGTCTGAATGAAATCTTGAATAAAATTCTGACATAAAAAAGTGTGCAAGAGTGCAGCAAGGAAAGAAGTATGGATGCAGACGTGCAGTAAAGTCTGTCTGTTCTGTGAAAATGACAAACTTGATGTAATAAATGTTGTTTTGTGTGTCTGCAGGGGTTTTGGCTTCGTCTCGTTTTCAGACGTCACCAGCGTAGATAAAGTGTTAGCACAGAGGCAGCACCACTTAGACTCTAAAGTGGTACGTTCACCTTTTTTATTCTGATTACATGACACACCCTGACATGATTTATCCGTCCTGTGACACCTCTGTGTGAACACCTGTGGGAGCAAAGCATGCTGGGAACACTGGCTTCATGCAGCAGTTTGAGTTTTTTTTAAAATCTGTTCTGGCTCAAAGATCTCAGAGTGTGACAGGGTCTGATGGAGTTTGTGTTTTTGGGATCATTTTTTTATTTTCGCTGTGGTTCGTCCGAGCTGGAATACATCAGATCTGTGATACTTGAATTTAAAGGTTGCTTTCACACCTCGATCATTCAGAGAAGTAGTTCTTTTTTTTCATTTTACCAGGAAAACCCCATTGAGACTAAAAATCTCTTTTTCAAAGTTTAAGACAAACAATGAGCAGCAACGCATACCAACATAATACAAGATGCATCAGAGAGACACTGGTGGTTAAAGCTGTGTTTTTCAGTGTGAAGGTTTTCTGGTTTAAATCACCAGAGCCTGGTTGTTTGAAAAACTAAATTCATATCAAAATGATTCTGCTTTGAAAATCCACTTTTATTTCTATCCAGGATCTCACTTTGTCTCGAGTTTTTCAAATGCGTGATTTAGTCTGTCCTCTCTCTCTCTCTCTCTCTCATCTCTCTCTCGCAGATCGATCCTAAAGTTGCCTTCCCCAGACGAGCTCAGCCAAAGGTAAGACGAGTTCTGGTGTGATTGACCTGTTATATCTCTGCTGTCTGAATGAGGGGGTGTGGAGGGTTTGGTTGTGTCCATGTCCATACATGTTGACTGATTAAAGATAAACGAAATGAAGAAGAAGATGAAGAGTTTTAATTCAGAGAAGCTGTGGCCAACAGTAAGTTTGTTTAACACTCAACCAGTTTGTCTAATTGATGCTTTTTGTCTCTTTGGTATCTAATTAAGTCTTCAGAGAAACTGTCAGAGCTCTCTCTCATCTGGTTGTCCTCCTGCTTCTTGGAGCTTTATTTAAATCAGAACTGCTGTTTGAGCACATTATTAGTGACGGTTTTGTTTTGTATTCAGAAGATGGTGCAGATCTTTGTGTGTGTGCGTGCGTGTGTGTGTCTACGTGTGTAACATAAAACAGACACAAGGCATTAGGTGTTAGTAAAGCTGCAGAGCCTGAAGGTTAAACTGACCTGCAGTCAGCTAATTATTCAGAACAAAGATTAGTGCAGGAAACACATTTTCATTCATAGACACACTGCTGTGTGTGTGTGTGTGTGTGTGTGTGTGTGTGTGTGTGTGTGTGTGTGTGTGTGTGTGTGTGTGTGTGTGTGTGTGTGTGTGTGTGTGTGTGTGTGTGTGTGTGTGTGTGTGTGATTCATTCATCAAAGGCTTTAAACATCTAACATAGTGATATCTATCACAGCTCCTAATAGATTCACTTACTCTCATAATCAAAGAGTTTAAGGATCAACCAGTTTGTTTAACATTCATTACTAGTTTGATCATTGATTAAAGATAGAGTCAGAAGCTTTTTCCTAAAAAATACATATAATCTTATAAAAAGTAATGTGACCAAATCATCACTCATGGTCCTCCGTACATGTGTGGTGGTGTCCTCTGCCTGGATTTTGATCTTTTGGTTTATTTGGTTGACATGTGACATTTCTGGGTGTGGAGCTGGTGTGTTCCTCCCAGCCAATGACAGCCCACAATTGAGTTAAAGAATGGACACAATTCAGCAATTGGACATGATACAAACCAGCGAATAAGACAGACGTCGATGTAACGACAAAGAAGAGAAAATATTATCATAGTGAGGCAAAACGCCATGCTGATAAAGTTTGTTCCATATCGAGTGTGAACCTTGTGTTGGCTGATTAGGTCTGCTTTCTGTTGGACTGGAAGGTGCCAAACACCGGTGGTTAGCTTGTGCTAGCGTGCGCTAACCTGCAGTGTAGGTATGAGCAGTAAATGTACATACTACGTCCTGCAGTGAGTGAACGCTTCAGAGGACGATGAGTCCAGGAGGAGTGGCCCAGTTTGAATGTTGTGTTGACAAGCTGCATGAACAATGACTCTACCTTTGATCTGTTTCTGTATTTTTTAGGATATAAAGTAAAAATGTCTGATTCCTGTTCTGTTTTCTGGTTTCTTTCCTCTCTGAGAGTAAGCTGAATCTTTTTTTTTGCATTCAAAGAGGTCATCTTGGTCTTTGAGAAACACTAATCCACACTTTCCACCAGTTTATTATCCTTTATAGATCAAACAACGAATCGATTTACCTCGATAATAAATTGACAGTCATCTTGAAAACAGCTGTGACTGCAGGTTTCACAGACTGTCTGTCAGAGCTTCTCTGAGACTCAACGTCTTTATTTACATGTCTTTATCTTGGAGATCCTCAAATGATCTGCTGAAAGGATGAAGTGAGGAGGAGGAGGAACAGAGAGGACTGAGGGAGGAACAGGAACACACTGAATGAAGAAAATCTGAAGGACTGCCGGCAGATTTGAGTTGATAACTGTTCATTGAATGTAATGATCCGTATCAGAGCAGAAATCTGCAAACAAAGAAACAGACAGAGTGAAAAGATTGAACACTGATGCAGAAACAGATGGTTTCTTTAATGTTCTGCATATTTAAATAAGTCTCTCTGAAGAGACTGAAGGATCAAGTGTTGTATTGCTCTCTTGTCAGTTGTTGGGTAGGACTTTTCAAATCTGAAAAAAACATTTAATAAACTTTGTGTTTGTTGGTCAGGAATAATGAAGGATTTGTTTATGTTTTCACGAGGGTTCTTGATTAGCTCTGATGTGATTCTTTCTGCAGTACAGTTTGTCACAATACCAAAAATACAACGTGTATGATTCTAGTAAAAATCAAAAATTGTTGACATTTGTTTGATATCATGCTAACAAAAATAAAAGGTAGGGCTGCATGGGAAATAAATCAAGTTTCAATTTCAAATACGATTTTGTCTTCCCGTAATCATGAATACGAGATAATCAAGATGAAACGTTTACTGTGTTGCACGCAGCTCATTCTGTCTGTAAGTTTTGTGATGTGTGGTTAATGTTTTAAAGTGTTTGTTGATATAGTACACAAGTAGATCACCACTACCATAAAAAACATATTTAATCATTTTTATTAATTAATATTATTATTATTATTTTATATTCATTTATTTCACTTCACTTTTTTTTCATTAATGGTGTTTAATAATCATGATCTCAGTATCAATCAGAATACTGGTGATTTACATTTAGCCCTAATATCGGATAATTGTTTAGAATTCGCAAGCAAACTCCTGCACACCGTTTAAACTTCACAAATACAGTACGTTGTTGAAGTTTTTGTTTTTTTGTTTTGCAGTTTAGACAAGGCTGTCTCTTTCTCCTTTTGTGTGCTGAGAAGCAAAGCGCTGCAAGTCCGTCTTGTCTCTATGACAACAGTCTGTTGACAAAGATCACTGCTCTGTTACTTTTGACTTTACGTTGTGTTGAAATCTTTTTCTCCTGATCAGAAGAGGATGTGGGTACAAGACACGATCTGTAGGTGAAAAAAACTACGGGGAATATCATTTTGAAAAGAGCACCGGAGATGTCAACAGCACCTTTCTGAAAAATAGAACAATTTTCATTTCAGCACTAGTTCAGTAGTGCTCGGAAAAAAGACGCTGGGCTCTGCGCTTTTTCTCCAAATGGCCGCCTGATGCTGCAAACGCTCTCTTCTCATTGGAAACAATTGAAAAAAAGACGCTGCCGCTCCACGCTAGGTGGAAACAGGGCCTATATCTCTGTACAGATATTCTTCGAGTAATCTCAAGAGCCCTGTTGTTTAATTTAACAGTATTCAATCCTAAAATCAGGTCGTTAACAAGGAAAACAGAATTAGGCTTTCCGATAAAATCGGGTAGTTAAATCCTGATTTTAATCCTGATCAAAGTTTGAGTTGTTTAAACCTTAAAGTAGGATTTTGAAGACTTTGGTCTAAAACATCAGGAGCATACAGCAGAGGGCTGATTCAGACTGGAGTAGCCTACAGAGCAAATATGTAGAAAAACTGTTCAAATGTTCAAACAAAACATTTGACCAAGAAAGCTGCTATTTTAAGATATTTTATAAACTGATTTATTTGCACAGGAATGGTGTTTCATTTTGGTGAAAAGTCGATAAAGAACACATTATAGAGTTGTAAAACTCTTCAAAATATTTAATCAGAAAGCATCATTATCAAACATTTGATATTGTATTCAAAGTAGCTAAGATAACTCTTAGTTTGTGTGGATATTGGCGTCCCCAGTGGACAAATGATCTCCTTAAGTAATCTTGATTTAGTGTCTGGGTGGGCTGGTGGGCAAGCAGTTCATTTGTGAACCCCATGTACAGAGGCTGTTGTCCTCCTTTCATTCCCCAATGTTTCTCTACCTGATATCTGACTCCACTATCTGGTCTCTCCAAGCTGAGCTGGATAACCTGGTCCTTGGTAGAAAAAAAGGATTAACAGATACAGTTCATTTTTATCTGGAGTAAACCTTTTGAACAACAAGGATTGATTTAAGCTGTTCTCTCTCTATCTCTCTTCTCTCTCTCTGTCTCTCTCTATCTCTATCTCTATTTCTCTCTCTGTATTCTCTGTCTCTCTCTCTCTCTTCTCTCTCTCTATCTCTTCTCTGTCTCTATCTCTATCTCTCTCTGTATGTCTCTCTCTCTCTCCCTTTCTCTATCTCTCTTCTCTCTCTATCTCTCTCTGTCTCTCTATCGCTATCTCTCTCTCTCTCTATCTCTCCCTCCTCTATCTCTCTCTCTCTCCCTCTCTCTCTATCTCTCTCTCTCTCTCTCTCTTTCTCTCTCTCTCTCTCTCTCTCTCCAGATGGTGACGAGAACAAAGAAGATGTTTGTTGGGGGACTATCTTCAAGCACAGTGATAGAGGATGTGAAGGTGTACTTTGAACAGTTTGGAAAGGTAAGTGTGTGTGTGTGTGTGTGTGTGCGTGCGTGCGTGCGTGTGATCATTCAGTGCGTGTGATGAGCAGAGTGTGATGTCTTAAGTGCTGCTGGTGGTTCTTGTTGAAGTTTCAGCTCTGAGCGTGAACTCAGACAGGACCACAGATTCTGATGGAGGTGTAATGTTTGTACTTCCTGTATGAACTATTTTTAGTCTATTATACTAAAGTCGGTGTTGTTGAATGAACAGATACAACTTTTGTCTGTCATGATGATGTCAGTCTTGTTGGTTCAGTAAGTGTTATGAATTAAATAACCAACATAAAAAAAATACAACAAGCTAATCATTTTGACATTTTATTTTAACACACAGCTGCTATGAGTACTTATAGTTAAGTTTTTTGAAATTTAAAATCCAAACTTTAAAAAAAAAGTTGCATATAAACCAAAGTGCCAAAATCATAGCTATGACTAAGATAAAAAAAACCTTTTACGATTTGTGCATGACTCCTGCTATTTCAAGTACAATACTAAGTTCTTTAATTTTTAAACTGAAAGCACCTCTCTGTTGTTTCTCTTGTTTTTTGTATAATGTGGATTATTTTGGTTACACTTCACTTGAGTCCACTTTAATTTGCAAGAATTTGATTTACATTTGCAAACTACTCAAGCACCACAGACTCTGTATTAAACGGATGAGTGGAATAACGCAGCGTGGCTCATTTCATTGAGCCGCCGTCTCAAGCTTCTTTATCAAAGATGCTGTACGGGCACAAGTTTGTGATCTTCTAAGCTTGTGTTGTTTGGGACTGCACACACTGGCTCTGTGTAGCGAGTCCAGCTCTTGTTGCTAGCTGCTTTATATGCACATGGAGGTTGGTCGTGATGCTGCAGTTTTTCACCTTGTGTTCAGCAAAGCTTGCACATTGCACGACTTGTGTCCAACTCCAGACTACCTGCTGATTGTTAAAATCCTAAATGGTCCCTTGATCCCTGCTTTCAGTTTCGCTCACTTTGCATAGAGCTTCTCATCCATGCTTTTTTGTTTTGATTTGGAACATGTGTTGCATCATGTGGTTTAGTTTTCACTGCCACCTGTTGGCTTTATTGTGAACTGCACCATAGGCAATGCCATCACAGATTTGCGGTTTATCGATACTGTAAAATCTGCATCGGAGCACATGTTGGCAAGGAGCACAGGGCAGTATATCGCCATGTAGTTTTTTTGAGCACAGGCACACACACACACACACACACACACACACACACACACACACACACACACACACACACACACAGACACACACAGACACACTGACATCATTTCATCTCTCTCTCTCTCTGACGTCTCCTCCGTAGAGCTTCCTCTCTCTGGACTGAGCCAGATAAGCAGGTAATTCATCATCTCAGTGAAGGGTTCATGCACACACACACACACACTCACACTCACACACTTACACACTCTCACACTCTCTCCGTGTCTCTCTCTCTCTCTCTCTCTCACACGCACACTCACTCTCTCTCTCACACGCACACACACACATAAACACTCTTATCAGCTCTTCAGGAGGACCGTGGTGAGCTCATGCGGGGTCTGCCTGAAAATGGCCTCCATATCACCATGACAACATTCAAATGATCCCCTGTATGACAAGAGACAAATTCATATATTTCCCATCATCCCTCTGTGCACGGAGCCCTCAGTTTATGCTCGTATCATTGTTCAGGAGAAAAGAGCGGTTTAACGGAGCGCTGCGCTGTGAGGGGGGTCTTTATAAATGTAAATTACCCACAATGCCTTTCTGCAGCAGAACAATGAGGAGGAACAGACGGAGAGTCTGTGTGAAGAGATACAGCTTCACTTCTTTTCTTTACTTTGCGGTCTTTATTTACTGCAGGAACATTACAATCAGACAGACTGTGACTCATCAGACAGATTCATCAAAGCATCCCGGCATTTATGGAGTCAGGTCTGAAGAGAGAACCGTGGGGATGAAGAGGAGGATTATGATTGGAACAAGAGAAACTGAGGGGAGGAGGTTTTTTTTCTTTGAGAGTAAAAATAAATCCTCAGAAAAAAAGATTGTTGGACAGGTTTTAGTTAGTTTTAGGAGCACACAGAGTTTGAGAAAGAGGAGATCTTCCTGCAGCGTCATTCACAAAGACTTGTTTATTTGACACAGGTGATGGAATCGATGATCAGGTGTGAGATCAGTCATTAGAGACCGTCTCCACCAATCAGCTGCAGGTGTAAAAACACTTATTACCATCATAAAAACTGAAACTGTGTCCCATTAATCAATTGAAACCAGCCTCATGTTCTGACTCAAAACTCAAGATTTTAAAGAGACAGATCGCTCATCTTTCCAGGGTTTGACCTTCAGACTCCTCTGTGAAAGTCACCGTGTCAGCATGAACAGAAAACATCCGGCGTCCACAGAGTACCTTCAGCTAGACGCTGCAGTGTTCTCATGACTGACGGGAATGAGACACAAACTATCAAACATATCAGATTTCAACTGTTAAAGATCCCATATTCTGCCCTTTTTGGGGTTCATATATTTAATCTATGTTCCTACTTTTGTACGTTCACAATAGATAAAGTTCTAAAAAAGTGTCTGTTTTCATGTACTGCTCCTCCTTGCTCCCTCTACACTCTGAGTCCATCAGCTACGCTCTGTTGAGCCCACACTGTTAGACCCCACGTGGGCCAAGTCTGCTCTGATTGGTCTGCCGATCCACTCTGTTGTTATTGGTCAGTTGCTCAGCACGCGTCTCGGAAATTTCAACATGAGCTGCTGGGCTTGACACAACGAGCCAATGGACTTAGATCAGTGATCTCACACTGACAATGACGCCACACTGACACATTTTTATGGAGGGGGGCTAGAACCGAGCGTTACATGCAGCTAATGCTACAGCTAACAGGAGGACGTAAGAGAAGCCGCGTTTCTGCCGACTTTGAATTTTTGCACATAGATGTGCCTAAACATGCACAGGACACTTGGAAAACACACTAAAGAGCATGTAAAACCAGAAAAAGAAGAATATGGGACCTTTAACATGCAGTTCCTGTGATTTCTACTTGACTCTATATCCTTTCTTCACATCACACACATGTGGTCCGGCTCTGACAGAGTGATTCAATCCTGTGACTCTGTGTTCCAAAAGCATCTCAGTGTTGAGATTCTCCTGAAGTCCCTTAACATGGTCAAACCACAACATTTAAAAAAAACAAAAAAACATTTAAAAGATGCACAGACAGAACTGACAAATCATGCATTCAGTGCTTTTTTTATACATCAGCATCATGATGTATTTATTTCAGCATCCTGTAGACCTTTTTATTGTCATTAAATCTCTGTAACATCTGCTCCTTTTGGGTTCATAGCGCTGTAGTAAACCTGATCAAACTTAAAACAGAAAACACATGTCATATGAGCTGAAATACTTGAAGGTTTCTGCATGTTTTATGCACAAGTTGGTGAAGATGTCACCCCTGCAGAGAGTTAAGTTCAGGCTTAATGTGTGTATTATTGATGATGAGGAGCGGCACCTGCTGCGGCACCTGCTGATTTTTAAAAAGATAATCCTCGTAAAAAATCAAACAATATCGATACCTATTTGATACCAAAGCAACAAAAATAGAAGTCTTAGGCATCCACTGTTGAGCACTTTTCTTGTTTCTGATTTAAAAAAAATTGCACTGCAGAAATTGCATATAAGTTGTCAACATTTGGATAAAGTTTAAGACGCTTCACCCACTTAAGATCCTTAAAAAACAGCGACTGTATCATTTTAAAACACATGGTGTTGAAAAGTATCCCAAAGTATTGAATTATCTAAACGTTTTCCAACCTTAGTCTCCTCATCTGATCAGTTTGAGTGCCTTTTTCTGCACCTTACTCTCTATATCCTTAGCCTCTTACTGCAGTGAAATCTGTGGAGTCAATCAGATTTCATGGATCTGAGGTGAAACGCCCAAGGTGTTTTCGATTGGTCTGTGGAAAAGTTCTGGAGCATTGTGTCAGCAGGTGAAGCTCTTATCAGCTCATCTCATTTTAAATAAAGGAGGGCTCTAAAGTTCTTCCATCTGTTGGAGGAGGCTGTGGATGAAGCAGTCAGCAGAGGGAATGTGAGGTTCAGATAAAGTGTTTCTTAAAGTCTGTTTATCTGCTGCTCTCTTATCTCTCTTCTCTGGAAATCTCCACATGTCGGGTTAATAATCTGTTTGTGTCAGGTGATTGCAGTAACACAGTCAGGGGTTCGAGTCAGAAACTCGCTGCAAATACAACTGTGTTCATCTTCAGGGCAGAAACCCTCGATCAGCCGGCTCTCTCTCTTCACACAGCTCGCTCTTAAATCTCCTCCTTCCTCTTCTCCTCTTGTCTGTGTCTCTTTATTATTTCCTCTCCTCTGTGGCTTCATGTCTTTGTCATCATAATAAGTCTACTTTCTGACTTCATGATCAGGATGAATCAGCTCTTAGGAGAGCAGATTTGGTCTGTGTGTGTGTAATTATAAGATGAATAACTAACTACAGATTAAGCTCTCAGTAAAGCACAGTATTGTATGAATGAAGTTCACCTGTGGATTTTTTAGAAATTTTTTGTGTTTCTCATTTTGACTACTTTGATAGAAGCTTCCAAAGTGCTGACTCTTGAAATATCACAATCACCCTCGTGTCTTCAAGCTTGTATGAATTTTCACTATATGATAACAATGCATGTTCTTTTCTCGTGACAGCATTCCAACATTTCCTTCTGCCTTTTCGAATGACCTGTTTGTGCTTGTGTCTGTTCTCTGATCACACGTGTACTTACTGATTAAACAGACTCTTATTCTGCATCTTGTCACGGAGTCTTGCAGTTGAGTCCTGATCTTGATTCAGTGTGGAGAGTAAAGTCTGTAACAGAAGTAAAGGCTGGAGATACTTTCTGTTTCACATTATATTCATGAACACAACCAGCTGCTTCATGAACGTTATTGTCCAGACTGTTCAGTAGATTTATTTTTTATTTTACCTTTCTTTTACCAGGTAGTCTCATTGAGATTTTGGAATCTCTTTCTCAAGAGAGACCTGGGTACATCAGTGGCAAATAAAATAATAAAAACATCGAAGTAACAGACATCAAAAACTCAAAGTAGATGCATGGCCAATACACACAACAACATCACACAAACACATTAAAAGTCAAGTACATCATTTATAGAGGATACCTCTAGATGGCCCCAGAGAGCTCAGGCCATATGTAACCAACCAAAGTGAACTCCAGACATGGAGACAGTCGAGGAGGCTACTGTTATGTTCACTCTGAGGTGGACAGAACACGCCGTCTGCACCATCTGCACGCCCTTTTAATTCCAGCATCTTCCTCCGTGCACAGATGAAACGCCTCAGATTTGTTTCCTCTTTTCAGACTGCTAAAACTGAACTGATCCGTCCCAGATATTCTGACACTGACGGACATGTTTGTCTCCAAAACTTGGTCATTATTGTCCCCGCTGCTGTGTTGACTCCGTCACATCCCCTCTACACTGCCCCCTACTGGTCATGTGTATACTGCAGCTTGAGATCACATCATGTCTTTTTTAAGGACGTGCACAGCGGACGCAGGGGAAGAGAGACAGCGACGATGTGCATGTGTAGTTTATAAGATAGTTCATCTCTGACCTGATATATTTTGTGCATCTCAATGAGACACCGATGTTTTGTATTAGTCAATCTGTGAATAAGATTTAAAAATGTTTACAGACAAACAATCAAATAAAACCACATTTCTCTGATCACTGCTTTTTTTTCTTGAGAACGCTGATTCACTCTGTGGCTTTAAAAGAGACTGAAGGAGAGATGATTTAACGAGCACTGTTCTTATTTCATCAGCTGCAGCTGTGCGTGTGTGTGTGTGTGCGCGCGCACATCAGCAGTCTGACATGTCTTTCCTTTTTTGTCTTTTCTCTCAGGTAGAAGACGCCATGCTGATGTTTGACAAAACCACCAACAGACACAGAGGTGAGACAGTCCAAGTTGAGATTGAAAGTCATCACTGTTGATCTGCTCCCTCTGAGTTATATGCAGCATACAAGGATATGCTACACACACACACACACACACACACACACACACACACACACACACACACACACACACACACACACACACACTCAGAAAAAAGTTGTAAACGTCCTCGAAAATTGTTCTCCCTGAAGGTCGACTCATCGTTCATCACAGATAACTTTCAGTTAGACACCAATCCATACTGAATCTGTCCCCTTATCACGCTGATTCTCCACACTGTGACACACACACACACACACACACACACACACACACACACACACACACACACACACTTTATTTAACCTATCTCTCTTTAATTAGCCTCGTTTCCCCTTCGGCTGTTTTGTCCCTCTGACGTCTCGATATGGATCTGCTCTGACGTTCTGCTGATGGGGTGAGGAGGGGGATCAGGTGGGGGGGGGACAGGTAAAGAAAAGATGCCCCCCCCCCGCAGAACGGAAGGTGCAGACTAAAGGATGGAGGTGTGTGTGTGGTCTGATAAGGTTCAGAGAGCTGAGGCTGCAGAGAGACGGAGGAGGAACGATGGTTATCTCCATCCTCCTCCTCCTTCACACACACACACACACACACACACACACACACACACACACACACACACACACACACACTGGACTTTACAAAGACACAGCAAACAGAGAGATTTTGCTCTTAGCAGATTTAAACATAGAAACTGACCAGTTCTTTCAATGTTTCACTTTATGTTTCTTATGATCTGTGTCTGATAGTTTTACATGTTTTTGGTCATAATAAAATAGTTTTGACTCATTTGTAGTTCAAAATCCAGTAATAACTTCCTAAATTTGACCTTTAAACTCAATACACAGTTCAATTAATGTGTGAAGTGCTTGACTCCTCAGTAGTGTTCTTACTCAAACATCAGTAATGCACTAGTTCATCAGATCTCTTCCCTGCTCCCTGCAGCTCACTGACACACCTCCACCTGTAGACAGAACGTCAATCATGACATCAGAATCAGAATCAGAATCAAAAATACTTCATTAATCCCAGAGGGAAATTCGGTAAATGCATGTGAGACGTCGTGGAGGAAGGTGGCGGCTTACAGCAGTAAAAGTATGTCTGTACTGGAGCTTGCTGTTTAATTGGAGCTGTGTGGTGTTCTCTTTCTTTTCTATGAAGTCTGCGTCGTTTTGGTTGATGTTTGCCTTCAGATCGTCTGGATTTATAAAGACCAGCCAACTGAATACAAAACCCTGGCTGGACTGACTTGTAACCTTTGTGTTTTTCCCCTGTTCTTTTAGTTCTCGCTGCCTGAGCGTTCTTTGAATTGAACATCATATTGTTTTTTGTTTATATTGAACTGAAAACGCGTTGGATGGAACTGTATGAACATTTTTACACCAACAAAATCTGCCCGTAACCAGGGTGTCATAACTGATTTCATTGGATAACAAGCATCACGTGTGATGATTTAGAATGAATGCTTTGGTCTCTTCCTGGCTCGATACCTTAGTGATGCCCTCTATTAAATTCAGGATTATTGTGGGCGGAGCCAGAGACATTCACACAGTCTTGAAAAATGTTGACAAAGAAAAAAGCTATTTTTTTAGTAGTCTGAATAATTCTTTTACAGTGGATTTCTCAGATGATTCTCAGCTTTGATATCATATTTTTTTTATTTGTGATCATATCGTCCAATCATCACTCAGTGTTCTCTCTCCTTGTCTGGCCTGAGTTCAGTCCCCAGCTTGATGTTCAGCTTCCCTGAAGGACACTGCTGATTGGTCCATTAATGTGACTCCAGCTGTGAGTGTGTGTGCGTGTGCATTTGTTTGTGTGTGGCTTAATTTTTGTATTTGTGTATATTTTGTGTTTTTATGTGTTTGTTTTTATTTTGAGTATTTGCGTGTGTGTGTGTTTTTGTTTTGTGTGTGTGTGTGTGTGTGTGTGTCTTTGTGTATGTATGTGTGTCTTTTGTGTGTGCGTGTTGTGTGTCTCTTTGTGTGTGTATGTGTGTGTGTGTGTGTGTGTCTGTGTGTGTGTGTGTGTGTGTGTTGTGTGTGTGTGTCTTTGTGTGTGTGTGGGTCTCTGTTATAAAACATCGATGTGGTAATAACCAGCTGAGTCTGACCACGTCTGTGTCTCCATCGCTGTCTCTGATTGGCTCGTGTTATTGAGAAGCTTCAAGTTCTGTGCTGCTGATGGATTGTAAAGACACGACCTTGAAAATCTGGATGATTCCTCTTTGTTTGAAAGTGAGAGCTCTGTGTAGTTTGTCTGATTCAGGAAACACTCGAGGTAACACTTCAGTATCAGTTGATGATTAACATTACACATGATAGCCCAGATTCTCTTAGAGCTTTGTCAAGTGGTCTCATTTAAACCTCTTTCACCTGTTTGCTTCATTTAGTATTTAGTTATCATAACTGATGAAACAGACAGTCAGGCTGACATGAAGCCCACATTTCAGTCATCAGTTTTACAGCAGAAAACATCACCAGTAAATCAGCACGGTGTACATTATTTAAAACTAAACCGTAGTGTGGTGTTATAGGACTTAAGCTGTTTAGTTATATGTGTATCTTTATCTTTCAGGAATTAAACAGGTGTTTGGTTTTGTTCAGGTAACAGAATCAATATGTGGAAGTATGAAAAGATGTCTGAACATCTTTAAGGATTACATTTGTTATACTTAATTAGACAGTTCATATTTTTGTTCTCAGTGAAGAGCTGATAGTCCGATGACTGAAAACAAAATCTCTCTCTCTGTGCTCTGAAACAAACCCTCGCTCTCTCATTGGTCGTCTCCTCCAGCTCTGACTCTCTCCTCGTCCTTGAAGACGACCTTGAAGGATATTTCCTCTAACAGGCAGCCGCTGCCTCCTTCACTCTCTCCGAGTATTGATAACCTCCTCTCCAATGAACCTCATTACAGCTGCCAAACACAGCCGCTTGCCTAATGGATCTCCCCGAGGGCCAGTTGATGAACTCACATCTACATCCCTCCTCCGCCGTCTCCTCCGCCCTGCACTCCGCTGAGGGTGGAGGCTTGAAGGGGGTAATTAAAGCAGCGAGTTGTTCCCAGCGTGTCAGGACTCGTGTGTCTGACCGCTGCTGTTTGGCAGGCGGCTGAGCCTCGGGGTGACCTGTTTGTCGTCTTATTAACTCGTCCAGAAAGAGAGAGAGTGGCAGATGTATAGATGGAGGTCAACAACAAGTGACAAACAGAGAGACGGCAGGTTGCAGATAGGGAAGACTGCAAAGTCAAGATGCTGCGTTCACTTCAAAGGCCAACATTTTTGCGAGGTGTTTCATTAGCATAACAAGGACGTTTTTAATGGATGTATTTCTAAATGCTTTAATGTCTTCATGTTGTGTGTGCAGGCTGCAGAGCTGGAGGTTAATGAGAGCCGATCTCTGAGTTTCAGCTGGAAGAGAAAGAATATAAATGACTGAGAGTTGTGTCAGGAGGAGGAAAAGAAACCACAGCCCGACACAGTTTAAGCTCACAGCATCGACATGTTCCCCCTTTAAAACTTGTGAGACAGCTTTTAGTCCGTGTGAAAAGCTTCTCTAATAAATGTAATCTATGTGGTGCCATCCGGCTTGAGCCCTGTCAAAAAGTCATCTCTGCTCAAACAGACAAAAGAGTATTATTCAGGCATGCGCTCCTAAAAATTCAGTCAGGCTGCCTCTGAAATCTTCCTGGCTTCACTCCAAGCGGCAACCACCGGTCTTAAAAAAAATGAAGCCGATGCGGAAGTGCAAAATCCTGCAGTTCCTCGAGTGTCCACTTGAGGCTGGCTCCAGGATCACTGGATAATAAAACATTTTTTTCAGCAGAAATCAGCATGCGTACAGCTGGTACAAATGAAAAAAATTGGTCTGATTAGTTATTGTCATCACTGGCACACTCTGCACGGACGGTGATTTTTTTTTTAAACGTCTCTGTTTTGATTTTGAAAACAATATGTGTTATCCATAGTTAGGCGCGTAGCTGACATGATTGACAGGTGGGCATGATGTAACGGTTTGTCAAGAGGCTTAAAACCCGCCTCAGCTCCAGCTCTCAGTCTGTGGTTAGGTTGACTGAAAGCTAGACTGAGACAGGATTTCCAACATGGCGGCTGCTGCTGATGAGCCTCCGGAGCTCCCTGCTGTAACAGATGGATGACATCACTCAGGCTTCATACAACAATATTTAGAGTCTGTGGTTCACACATGCACCTCACAGACTTTTCCTGACGGACCATAGGGCGGAGGATCTCAGCCATGACGTAAAAAGAATGACCACAGAACTGGCAGATGAAGCACCAGAATCCATCGTATTTAACAAATTTTTGTATGTTCATGTGTATTTATTAGTCCATTTATTGAACATGTTAAGAAAATACAAACCCAAAACAAAAAAAAAAACTGGATCCTCAGGATCCATAGCAACAAATAAGTAACTCAAATAATATAGTTCATGTTCAATAGTGATAGGAAGAAGTAAAAACTGTTCTGGTCTTACCCCTTCTTATTTTTGTGCGTTATTCACAGAAAAATCAATCAGTGTATGATGTTGGACTTGTTGGCCAAAACAACAACAAAATAATGGAAACAGATTAACCAAGACCAAGATCAGCCAAGAAATAACCAAATAGAAAAATAGAAAAACAGAAAGTCACTGCTCAACCCTTCATGTGATTGGACATATTCACATTATAAACAGAGAGTGTGTGTGTGTGTGTGTGTGTTCTCCCTGAGCTCTAAATCTGCTCATCAGAGGATATGAGATAATGATGGGTCATGTTAGAAGCCTCCTCTTTATCTCAGAGGTATTTCTCTCCTCATCATGCGGGGCTGACTCTTCTATCGGTGAGGTTGTGCTGAAGATGAGGTCACCTCTTTCACATTAAAACGTGTTAGAGCTCTTTATCTCAGCAGGATTACAAAGAGCTGATATCAGAGGAGAGACCTGATGAAAGACA